AATGAAAGTTGCAACACCTCCACCTCTTTTCTTTCTGGTCGATCTTGTCTAAACAATGTAAAACCATTTAGGGAAACCAGATTGTCATCATAGAGTTCATGGAGCCATGTTTCTTGTAATGCAACAATCGCCGTATTGTGATAAGTATCAGATGATAAGAGAGACTGGAGATGCATAATTTTGTTGGGAAGTGAACGGCAGTTTGAAGTGACAATAACAGGAATGGTTGTACGATATAAAGGTGTCTGTTTAAGTGCACGCTGCCAGCCAGCGTGATGTTTTCTCTTAGATTTATTAGATGCATGAAAGTCATATGGTTTAAAACGTTTAATGAATGAATTACTGTATTTTATGCGATTTGTGATCATATTTTATTAAAATTAGGAATGAAAACATGACTTATTAGATGCAATATGTAGATGCAGGAAAAGGTAGCCCAGGTGTCAAACAGGCCGCCGAAAAAAGATGTTGCTAGGATTTTATGTTCGGCTAGTCTGACTCACTGACCCTGTTCTACTACTTTGGCCTATGTATTTGACCTGACAATCATTTCAGCTGGCAGGGTATTAGATAAACTAAATTGTTTTGTTTTAAAGGCTCCACAGGATTGATCCTTTCTTCCGACCGACAAAGCGTGTTTCTAATTCAATTTGTGGTTGGTTTGAATGCCAGTTAATTTTATTCCCGCCAGTATTGTTAAGAATTCTGTGTAAGGTGGTTTCCGAGGTTCCTTCCTTGTATGGAATTACTACTGATGATTTAGATTCATTATTGTTGGTGTTGTCTTGCTCATATTTGACATGCACGTCGTCATTATTATTATTACCACTATCACTACTATCATTATTTATTTGATTTTTACATTTCCTTAAATATTTCCTGACTAATTTATCACGGTAATCATTAAGTTTCAAGGTTTCTCTTATATGTTTCACTTCCTATCTTAGATTTTCTTTGGTACTACTTAGATTGTGTGCCCTGTTGTCACTTAAACATTTCACCAATCCTATTTTAACTGACATAGGATGGGATGATTGGAAGTCCAAATATCTGTTTGAATGTGTGTGAGTTTCTTGTAAACACACACTAGTGTGTTTAACTTCCCATCTTCTTTCCTTTTTACGTTGAAATCTAACATTGAAAGCACCCCAGCTTCCTGACTTTCCAATTCATCATAAGTGAATTGCCTCCACCTTTGAGTTATGTGTTCGAAAAATCTGTCTATATATTCTGTGTTCTAAATACGGTGAATATATCATCTACACACCTCCACCATACCATTGTGGTGGATGGGGGTGAACATTTCAATAGCTATGTTTTCCCACCTATTCATGAATACATCTACTACAACCGGGGATATTAGTGATCCCATGTCAACTCCCACAGTTTGTTTGTATATTTTCCCTTGGAATTTAACTACTGTGGAAGTCAGGCATAGCTGCACTCCCAGCATCATGTCCTCAGGTGGCACTTTCGTCCTAAGTTCGTGTTCTTGGTCTGAAATGAGTTCGTTTCTGACTGCCTGCATGGCCATTGTGTAATACTGTAATGAGAGCCGGTCGTTAGCCAAAATTGGTGGACAGTAATTTACGTCGATGTTTATGTCCCCAATATTGGTCGTGAGAAAAATGGGAAGAAAAGCTTTGCGTAGGCGGATACAGTCAACATACATATGATCTGACATTCAAGAAACAGCCACAAAGGGACGAAAGATTAACTTTTAGTGAGAAACAACCACCAATCAGAAGACAATATACTAACAATAATCTATAATATGTACATGAAAATCTCTCTCTCTCTCTCTTATATATATATATATATATATATATATATATATATATTGATTTCCTTAATAAAAGATCTGTTGCCTGGCCCTTGTCTTCTCTTGTCACGCTACTACATAGAGGGAGTGTGGCAACTCGAACTACTGAACATCTCTGCAAATTTTCTATGTTGAAACCAACTAATCAGCCAGTCAGTTTATCTTTGCATACAATTTAGAGCAGCAGCTATGCTAAAATAATATTCCGCTTCGATAATTTTAATTTTTTTTATTATAGTTTGATTCCAGTGTAGTTTTGATACAAGTATGTAATTTTCAGCATGTGATATCGGTGGCCCAAATTTAGCAGGCCGACCATTGATATCAGGGGTGTGCGTCTGTAAGGGATCGAACTCCGGACCATGTGTATGGTCGGCGAAAGTCCTAACCGCTGTGCCACCAATGCACAGATTACAGTTAAACAAAGCAAAGTGCAATATAGTGAGTGAAAGACGTGTGATTTATTCCATACTTCATTAAACAAGTGTGACTGATTTTACAAAAAAACAAAATCAGTTGATTACAGCAAAAATGGTCATAAATAAGATTAGAGTAGTTCTACATAAAAAAGGCATAATGAAAGAATATTAAAAACAATTAATCCCTTTGATAAATTTGAATAAAGAACGCATTAAGAAGACAAATTTCAACGCGAGATGATATCGTCATTTCGTAGTTTCATGGTTAACAATAATAAAATAAAGTTCCCATGACAATTACTCAGTTAAATAAAAACAAAAGTACATACTATGCTAATGACCAATTATATTTAGATAGGTCAAGTAGTCAATCCATGGTAGGCAAAGGAAGGTTGAAGTCTATTGTTTTGAGTGTACACACAGTTTAGGCTGTATGTAATTAATCCCCGAAGAGTGCTTCCATCGCCTTCAAAAACCAACCAGCCTTGAATTAGAGTTATGTGATGAAATAATTGTGAAACAGTAACTAATTAATATGGATTGATTTTCTGACCCGACATTCATTAATAAGTGTTTTGCAATGGATGACGATGGATTTCTGTTCAGATTAATCGCATTGGTGGAGATTTTCTATGTCATTTAGTGACTATTTTGGAACATGTTCTTTTCGATCACGACATTGGAACATTCTATTGGTTCTACCTATGTAGATTTGTGTCACCTCAACAACTGCAGGTGAACTTGTAGATGCAGATTGAAGTAGAGTCCACAGAATTTCGTCCTTTAATCCTAGGTAGGTACAGGGATCGAAAATGTTCGGGATGTGAGAAAAAGAGATGAGGCGGCGTAGAATGTGAGTTTGGTGGTTGACCGAAGCCTTAGAGTTCGCTGTCAACTGCATAATCTGGTCACCCTTGAACGGTAGGTAGGTTAATAAAGCCAGATAGCTTTCTTTGGTACAGAAGCTGTCTTTTCTAGATATGGTCTTTCTTTACTGTGACAAGTGATAAAGTTTTCCGAATACTGTAGATGTCAAAACTCATCCATCACAATGTGTCACTCGTGCATATTTTTCGGGCCCTTGAGAACAAACATTTCACTCAATAGGGAACGTTTATACTGGATAGGAACAAAACAAACAGGTGAAATGAAGATATTGCTCACTCCATGTCTGTTTACGAAAAATAAATCGTTGAATCGTTCCATCATCTCTCCTAGTCACAGTAATTAATATCCAGGAAACCGAGTTTGTTATTCTATCGGAGTTCGGAAGTCACTCGGATATTTGGATGAATATGATTAAATAGGGTGGTAATAAAGTTACCAATAATGAGAGTATCATCTGCATAACGTTTATACAGTATAAATTCTCCAAGCATACCTTGCATTTGTCTCTCCAATTTCGACAAGAATATATCTGCTAACAGGGGCGTAAGAAGGCTCGCCGCATAGCAACACCATCGATTAGTTTGTATGCCTTTTGTTTGGAGGGTGAATCTAATATTTTCTGTACACATTAAGATGTGATATCTTTAATGTAAGTGAAAGGAATTTGGTAAGTTTATCTCATTGCTTGTGATGTAATCACACAAGTGAAATCAACAATTTCATTAAGGGGAACATTGGTGAATAAAGATTCTACGTCAATTGAACGCAGAACCTTTTCCTTAATATATTAAATATTCCCATAGTAAAATTTAAAACAACAACATCTGCTTAAGCGAACAATATTGTTGTTTTCAATTAGATCTCATCATCAGGCTTAACTCTAATATACACACTTAACTTTACAAATAAAAACTCAAATATAAACCAATTATCATGGTGTTTTGTCTATAGGTGGTGATAAGATGGTGAATATAAATTATGTAATTAGTCATAATAGTAATAATGATGGTTTTATCAATAATAAGGATGAAAAAGTGAGGCAATCTGTGATAACACGAATACTGATGAAAAACAGCATGATTAAACAATCAAATTTTCAGGTCGACATAATAGTCGATAAAGGCTAAGAAAAACAAATGAACCGATTACGTAATGTTGGATTGTAAGGGACGGAAATGAAACACGTTTATTATGAAGATGTGATAAGATTAAGGGATGATAAGAGAGGGTTGAAAATATAAGTAAGTAAGGGGTGGTGTAGAAGTCATCAGTTGGTTATGTCTTAATAGGCCAATAAGGGAGGGATAATGGTTGTACGAACTTCGTTTGAATGCATAGCTTAGGTTTAATAGTTCGAATGCCTATCGTCTGCCACAGCTATGGTGTGCAGTAGACCAACGAATACGTAGTCTATTGGAAAGATTCGGTGGGATACGATGAATTACTTTGAAGGCTCTCGTTTTGTCTACTACATGACCATTATCGAATAAATGTGACAGAATTGAGGCTACGGATTGTTTTTGTCTGTCCTTCACCAGAGCACGATGAAGGGAGATGTTCACTAACACGTTGGCTAAGCTGTCTAGTAGTAGTGTGCCCAACATAACTGTTACCGCTGGTGCAGTCAGTAGTCAGTCATAAAATTTAACCAACTTGAAATCAATTTATTATAAGAAAACAAAAAAGGTGGGAAATGAACAATTTTAACAAAAATAATGACAAAACATTCATATATATCAGGGGTAAGTTTCTATCCTGACACAGAATTTTATTCACTTCATTATGAATAACAGAAATCTAAATCTATGCATACATGTTTATACATGTATATATATATATATATATATATATATATATATATATATATATATATATATATATATATATATATATAAGATCTGAAGAATGATATGAACATAGTGAAAGTGATTACGCATACACACAGAGAGAAACACAAACAGACATTGTTTTCAAAGGCGAACTTCCTCATATAAAAGAAGTAATGCTTCTGAAAAGGTTTTACGCAGTTGAGGTCGAGCAAGTTTCATATTGGCTGTAAGTAGACCATTTTCTACAGTGAATGGACTGGCTGATAAATAAACCGCTTTAACCTGAAAAAGTAAAATAATAAAGTAAAGGTTAAATAAAAAAAAGTTATAATAAAGTAAAAATTATATATATATATATATATATATATATATATATATATATATATATAACGTAATGTAGATGACACTCTCATTATTGGTAATAATGAGAGTATATCTATTGAAAACTTTATTACCACCCTATTTAATCATATTCATCCAAATATCTGAGTGACATCCGAACTCCGATAGAATAACAAACTCGGTTTCCTGGATATTAATTACTGTGACTAGGAGAGATGATGGAACGATTCAACGATTTATTTTTCGTAAACAGACATGGAGTGAGCAATATCTTCATTTCACCTGTTTGTCTTGTTCCTATCCAGTATAAACGTTCCCTATTGAGTGAAATGTATGTTCTCGGGGGCCTGAAAAAAATATGCACGAGTGACACATTGTGATGGATGAGTTTTGACACATACAATATCCGGAAAACTAGCGCAGAGATTGTTCCACCTATTATTTGCCTTTTACCACCTGTTTTTCTGATAAGTCTAAATCGTTGTCCAGTATTATCTATCGCCGATGCCTTTTCCAACTCCTTTGCGTTTGTCGCCCAACACTGTTCACAGTCGTTACGAAGGATACTTGTTAATTTTCATTTGAATAGCTTTCGCTCCCCACCATATTCAGAGCACGCTGGAATCAGTCCTCTTGTCTTAATCAGGTCGGGTGATGTAGTTGTAGTTCACTGGCTCTTACTAACTTTGGTTTTGGTGTTATTAACAGCCTTTACATCCGTATCTACAACTAACTGTATGTTGTGCCCAGCCTCCTCAGAAGGAGTATTTCTGTCAACCTCAGATACGCGTTTAGCGATGTCTTCATTAAGTAGACACTCGGTGTCTTCATCTGATTGGGGGCGTAACTGCTTCAGTGCAGACAGCTTTTTATGTCCGTTGCAGACAACCAACATGAAATCCATCAAGTCGATTGGTCGAAGAGTTTTACTGACAGCCCTCAAAACCCACTAGGAGGGACTGAGCTATAGTGGTCTGTAATTCCCCGAAATTATTAGCCACAGCACTCATCACTGAACATTGGATTCTGAGACCCTCACTGTTTTAGTCGATTTGTTCAGCTGTAGGCTTACGGTCAGGCATCCACGACATTTGTCACGCCATCGTTCTTTCGTGTACGATCCTTAGCTAGTTAATCAATCAATCAATCTCTTACTCCAATTTAATCTCGAAATGTACTTCGTAATTTGGACGATCAATTCTGTTGTTTTGCTTTGATTTTGGTCTATGCGGAACGAATACTGTAGAAGTTGTGGGTATTTGATCTTTCATTATTACATATCGTACTACTCGTGAACGTCAACACTCTCAGTCTCTTAACCGTTTAATCGCAAGCATAAATGTGCTCGAACCAGGGCTTAATGGGGTCTACTCACATGTTCTGGAAGGAGAGACAGTCTTCTACTGACCCTCGCCGCCAACAATACCCTACCGCTATGTGGTGATGGAGGTCACCAGGTTACGCAGTGTCTCTCTTTGTGTCTAAAGTTAGTGATGACTAGGAACAGATGATTATCTAAACAGAACTGTGGAAGACGATCACCGCTATGGGTTTGTCGACACGGAACTCCATACGTACCACCTAAATGCTTCTCAGTCTGTCACAACCTCCCTACTTGGGCACTGAAGTCGCCTCCTATATCTGAACGTTTTGCTTTTCGCAGCAAATCAGACAGTTCCCGGTAGAAGTCATCCTTTAGTTCCTTCGAACTGAAGTCTCTTGGAACGTAAGGAGAAACTATGAAGAGACGACGACAAGTAACACCGCTCTTCCTAATTCTAACGGACCCATTCAGACGGACCGCACACATACGACTATCTACTTGGATCCAGTCAATGAGGGATTTTTCTGTCCTAACACTCAAAGCTATCGCCACACATGCGAGTGCTCGTGAACTGGCTGAGGGGTCTCCTGACACGCTTAGAGTGAATTTCGCAGATTCAACTTGTTGTCTGGGTGGGTTTGAATGAATGACCACACTCTGGTCTGGTATGCGTGTCTCCGAAATACACCATACGTCAATGACTGGCGATGCCAGAGTTCTTGCCAGTGATGCCTGTTATCCGATTTGGCAGAGGGTGTGGACGTTGAATATTCCACTATGAAGTTGGCAGTTTGGCTTTAAGAGGCTGTTGGAGGTGTTTTTCTGTCTTTCATCATTATTTTTGGTAACAGATGAAATAAAACGGGCTCGCCTTGTAACCAGAAGGTCCTGGGTTCGAACCCGTCGTGGCGGATGCATACTGCTGAAGAGCCAGTTCAAAACTAGACTGACTTAACAGCTGCCTGTCTAGTACTCCCAGTGGCGGGTTTTCCAATGGTTCTCTAACCGATTTCAGCTTATGTTGAAATCCTCCAATCAAGCAATCAATCAAATCTCTAAAAACCAATGCTTGTCCATGAAGAATAATTGAATTTCTTGTGGATGTATATATCAATAGTAGCTAAGGCTAAGATATAGTGTGTACGGCGATGAAGAAGTATAGTAAGGTAACCTAAGGAAATCTCTTACCATAACAGATTTGATTCACACAATGTGCACCAGGGTTGTTCACTATTTACACAACAGAGAAGCGCACTGCTTTTTGAAACACCGCATAATTGGTTGAACCACAATACTAGTTAGCAAAGGTTATGCCCAAGCTCATTCAACAATGACTCAGAATTATTATTATTATTGCTTCCTTTTATTCCAAGAGGAACATAGGGCTTCAGCCGCTCACGTCTCCATTGCGTTCGGTTCTCTTCTAGAGTTTTCGCTTGGCTCCATGCGTCTGACCACACGCTTTCATCATCTCCTCTTCACATGACCTCCTCCAAGTCACCCTCGCAGTGACGACCGACTCACCGCTTCCGTTTCGGGTTTCACTCCAGTGATGGCCTGACGTGTGATGTCACTTGATGGTTTTCTCAGAGTATGGCCAATCCATCTCCATTTCTTCCTGCCTATTTGTTGCACAATCGGTTCCTGCTGCGTTGGTTCGCTCATAGCCAGAGATCCCTACCTGTTGCTGATCTTTTCCGGCCGGCCGGCCATCTGATCTTGAGTATTGAGCGAATGCAGCTCTTAATGTAGGTTTTTCGTTTGTTTGAGGTGCTCTTTATGACGCGCTGGCCAAGTCTCTGATCCGTATAGTGAGTAGCACTGACTGACGTCACATTGGAGTTGAAAATCCGGATCTTACTTTTCATGCTGAGTGCTGTTGACTTCCACACAGAAAGCTTGCCTTGCTTTCCAGATCCTTGCTTTGATATCCTCGTCAGTTCCATCCGCCAGTAGTTGAAACGATGCTTCCCATGTAGGTAGATGAAGGAGGTTATTTCTTTCAGTTTCCTCCCATTTCTGCTGGCTGTTTGTTGCTGCTGGTGGTATTGCCCAGGAATCTTCACCACCTCTCTTTTCTCTATGTTCACCTGAAGTCCTATCTTCTCTGGATGCTTCTTCTGCCAACTTGTTGCTTTTCCCTTGCATATCTTCCAATTTGTGGGAAATCAGACATATATACCACATCGGCGAAGTCCAGATCCTCCAAGTTCTTTTTTCATGAAGTTTCATTTTATGACTGTTTCCTCGTTGCTCGGCCCACTGTCTGTCTGTCGCATTATCCAATCTACTGCAATCAGGAAAATCATTAGCGACAGTAGGCAGCCAGCCAGCCGGCCTTATCTTACTCCCGTCTTCACTTCTTCGAAGGATTCTGTAAGTTTCCCGTTGTGGTTGATTACTTGGGATGCAGAATTTATCGTACAACTAACTGTTGGATGAGATGTATAATTGTCGGCAGCCCCACCTCATTGGTAGTAGCGAAGTAGTTACCAAATCACCACCTATCAATCGACGCTTCGCTATCGAAGGCCTTTACAAAGTCGATGAAGTCGAGACAGAGAGAGAGATAGAAGCGCGTCAAGGTCCAATGGCTCAGAATATATTGTAGGGTAATCATAAGTAGAAAAGTAAAACGAAATCTTCGTCACTCAGCATCAACAACAAAATTCGGTCGGATTTTCAATGGAAACAACGTCAAGTCAGTCAGTTCTTCTGTATAGAACGGATCAGAAACTTGGCTGGTGGGTCATAAAGAATATTTCCACCAACAGCCTGTTGCAGACGTTACCTTTATCAACAACTAACTGTCTTCGCTGGATCTATACTGAAGATCAGATGGACGGGCCGGGCTGGGCCGGAAAGAATCACCGACAAGCACCAAACTATGGGAACAAACAAAACAAGAACAAATCGCCCAACGACAACAACAAATATGCAGGAGAAAGTGGAGATGGATTGGACACTCGCTCGCTGAGGAGGCCGCGCTGGGTGACATCGCGCGCGCGTCAGGCCACTGCTCGGGTGGAACGAGGGCGAAAGGGGAGGACGCGGCGAGTGGGACGTCAGTGCAAGGGTGACATGGAGGAGATGGTGTGAAGAGGAGTTGAAAGAGTATGGACTGACATGGATGCAGGTGAAAAGTACAGCAGAAGACAGAAGCAAGTGGAGACGTGCAGTTGAAGCCCTATGCTTCAGTAGGAACCCAAGGGAATAATAATAATAATAAAAGCCCCCCCCGCCTCCCCCCAAAAAATATATGCATATATAATACTTACAATTTCAAAGCCTTTCAGTTTTTCTTTCCTTCCAATGCTTTCCAATTCTGAGGCAACAATTTTACGTGCCATAGGTTGTGAACACAACTTGGATACGTCTTGTTCTTTTTCACTCAGCGTACTACTAGTCCTGTTCTTCTTCTCCTCCTTATCGTCACCACTATTCATCAATACACCGTTGCTGTTTGCATGATCCCCCTTAACCAATAAACGTTTTGTCAATTCTTTTACATTCGGTACAACGATAGCCACGGGGAAGTTGTTCAGAGAATTGCCATCGATGAAAATCTGTTCAACTATTGGACTTAACAGGTAGATATTTTCTAACCGCTCTGGTGCAATATATTCACCTTGAGATAATTTAAACACATTTTTACACCTGTCGACAATTTTTAAACTACCATCCTAAAAGAAACACAAAAAAATAGATGGAAAAAGAAAGCGAAAATACAAACAAAAGAAAAAGAAACAATATGAAAGTTTAACAACACTTCTGAGATTAGAATGGATTTGGTGGATGGTGGTGACTGAGTAGCAGTGGAATCCAGGACCAGGATAACGTGCATTTCATAGTAGCTGGGACTCGTGTTCCAGCTGGATGTACTTGCATTCCTCAGTGACTGATGATGTTAACAAGAGGCCGACAACATGTCAACGTTCAACCCTTGTCCCTGTTGTGGCCATCATAAACAGGTAATTCTTCTAATACTGACTATCCCAATGACTTTCTTATCCAAACTTCCTGTTCGTTCATGTTATTTCTAAGTTTTTTTAATCCTTAGTTACACTACCATATGTTTATATCCGAACTTCCATTTTATTTTGTTATTTTATTACTTCTAAATATTTAATCTTTAACTGCATAAACAATTATTCGTTACATTAGTTATGATCCCACTAGATTTTTTATCCAAGCATCCTGTCTATCGTTCTTATTTCTACATTTCTAACCCCGTAATTACATAATCAATGTCAGTCTTCTTAGTAATTATGATGCTACTTTGTTTGAGCTTTATCCGCCTCCCCTCGGTCTGTTTATTATGTCAGTTTAATTTCTTATTGTAATTTTATTAATCTGACCCTTGACCGGAGATTACTCTGGAACTTTCCCATCCATGTACAGCCCAGCTGACGATGACTTCGTCGCAAAAAAGAAACTTTTCTTCGCTGCAATAGTCTTCTGAATAACTCCTATGCCTATGCCTAAAATTAATCTCACAAATCAAATGGACGATCATTTAAGGATTAAAATTAATTGGTCCCCTAGGGAATACAAAAAACCCACAATTAAGGAAGATGATGAAATGTCGAAATCCAGATAATTAAAATACCCTTGAGGAAAAAAACAGCAGATTAGTAAAAAGACAGAGAGGCTGAACTTGTGAGAGTGAGAGTCAAGCACAACTAGAATCATTGTGTGTGTGTGTGTGGTATTAAATAAATAAAAAAGGGGGAGAAATAGGATCATGGTAATGAGACAGGATTTTTCTTTTCATTCCTTTACGTTCCCAGTGGAACATAGGGCGCCTTCAAGCTAGAGGCTTGAAGTTTCCGATGCAGAGGTGATTATTTTCACAGGATGGGGCTGCCAGCCTGATGCCCAGCCTTCCCTCTTCACCAGTTTTACTACTGGTTTGGCGAGGTGAATGAGTGCGTCAGTGGCCGGGGATCGAACCCCGAACCACGTGCGTGGTCGACGAGCACTCTACCGCTTTGCCACCCACACAGGGAGACAGGATAGATAGTGGGAAATCTGGTATCCCTTATTAAACTACAGAATAACAATGGCGTGCACGATATTACAAACGACTAGGATATATGGTTTGTCACTCTGTGTGTTTATGAGAGAGAGAGTTTCCTGGTCCCACCATCACACTCCAAGTAAATAACATCTGAGAGTAGACTAACTGAAAAGAGAAATTAAGGAATTTCTTTACTGGAAATTCACTATGCCATATAGAACTGCAACTAAACAAGGTATTCTGCAATCTTCTGCTGATTCTTACGGCAAACTGTTAACTGGAACATATACTGCCACTTTCCTCATTTGCTTAATTAGTATTTGAAAGAAGAGAACACTAAGTTCAGGAATGAGGACGATATTTTCAGCGATTTCATTCTCAAAAGTGGCTCTACAATCGTATCTAAATACATAATTTTACATGGATACAATTTTTTACTTGATTCCACATAATTACGAAGGCGAATTAAAAGGTGACAATTATTATTTTCAACTAGATACAGATTATGAGGAAAGGCTTAGAAACAAAATTTCACACAGGATGATTAGAACGGATAACCAGGGTGTGTAAAATTGAGCGAGCATGGAAACAAAATTGGAATAATAATAATAATCATTTTCAACTTGAGATGGGAGTCAGGAGGTGTGATGAATATACATTACAAGAGCCTTAGAAACACAAACATCTCACAGGATTAAGATATATTTGTAAAATAGTTATATTAAACGAATTCTAGATGTGACCAGGAAAAGCGTGAAACAAACTTACAGCAGGTTGAAGATGAGGCAGTAACTCATCGAAGAAGACATTGCGAAGTGGTCGCGCTATGTCATGAATTGGCAGAAGTTAGAATTCAAGGACCATTGGATCGGGTCCCAGTGGCTCAATGGTCTACGAGCTCGCCTTGTAACCAGAAGGTCCTGGGTTCGAATCCCGGTGGGTGCGTACTGATGAAGAGTCCCAAACTAGGACGAAACAGCTGTCCAGTACTCCTTGCAGGTTTTCCAGTGGTTCTCTAACTGATGTCAGCTCATGATTAAATCCTCCATGGAATCAAACTTAAAATAACTGTTTTTATAACTGAATCGAATGAAGACAGAGGGATTAAGAACTACCATGGACCCTTAGCCTCCGTTTTTTCTTCCGTTCTCTTTTTTTCATCTATTTTTTCGTTCGCTGTGTGTGTGTGTGATACCTACTGCCTCCGTCTTCACCCTACTTTTTTCAGTTATAAAAACAGTTATTTTAAATTTGTTTCCACGCTTTTCCTGGTCACATCTAGAATTCGTTTAATATAACTATTTTACAAATATATCTTAATCCTGTGAGATGTTTGTGTTTCTAAGGCTCTTGTAATGTATATTCATCACACCTCCTGACTCCCATCTCAAGTTGAAAATGATTATTATTATTATTCCAATTTTGTTTCCATGCTCGCTCAATTTTACACACCCTGGTTATCCGTTCTAATCATCCTGTGTGAAATTTTGTTTCTAAGCCTTTCCTCATAATCTGTATCTAGTTGAAAATAATAATTGTCACCTTTTAATTCGCCTTCGTAATTATGTGGAATCAAGTAAAAAATTGTATCCATGTAAAATTATGTATTTAGATACGATTGTAGAGCCACTTTTGAGAATGAAATCGCTGAAAATATCGTCCTCATTCCTGAACTTAGTGTTCTCTTCTTTTTTAATTAGTATTTAACAAACGTTAAATTTTTCGACTACTGTCGTCAATCCACACCATGAACAGTACTCATAACAACATTTGAGAATAAAAACTGGCCCAATTCAGGCAGTTAACCTGGGATTCTAGTGGAAAGCCGTGACCAGTAGGGTACAGCAGATTGAAGATGAGGCAGTAACTCATCGAAGAAGACACTGCGAAACGGTCGCGCTGTGTCATGAATTGGCAGAAGTTATAATTCATGGAATGGACATTGGATCGGTTCTCAGTGGCTCAATGGTCTACAAGTTCGCCTTGTAACCAGAAGGTTCTGGGGTTCAAACCCCGGTGGGTGCGTACTGATGAAGAGTCCCAAACTAAGACGAAATAGCTGTCCAGTACTGCCAGGTTTTTCAGTGGTTCTCTAACCAACTGATGTCAGCTCATGATGAAATCCCCCATACAATCAAACAAAATCTCTACAAAACCAGTAATTGAAAATAAAAACTCCAGCAAGTTCTTGCACTTGTATTAGGTAACACACTAATCGTAGACTTTCGACGACAAAGTGGCTTAATACAAAATTTGAAAACAAATTGCGAATACATTTCAAAAGTAAACACCTACTTCATTCCAAGCGCCAACATCACCAGTATGCAACCATCCATCTTCATCGATCAGTTGTTTTGTATTCTCTTCATCGTTATAATAACCTTCTGTACATTGGACACCTTTAACGCAAACCTGCGCGTTGAAACAGTATGGAAAACAAGTAAGCAAATACACTGTGCACAGCAGAAACAATTAAAACAAAATAACTAACAGAACTTAATGATCACACACACGGACTTGTCAGAGGAGTATATATATATATATATATATATATATATATATATATATATATATATATATATATATATATACAGGAAATTAATAAAGTTAAGATGTGAGAAAATGGACTTGATTTCTTAGGTCACTTTAAAAGGAGGACATATTGAAGGTAAAAATAACAATGAAGATCAATCACTAAACCAAATAACAGAGGTAACAGTACATCTACCCTGACTGCTGGCGATCAAAACAAAGTTTACCAACAAGGAAGGTAGGTTTAGTTAGTGTGATGACGAATTGTTGCTTTGAACGCATAAAGGTGGTTTAAAGTTTCTAATTGCCAGCTAGGGCTTCCACAAACTTTAGGATACGCCTTCTCCAAACACGCTTTTATAGATAGGCCTTTTAAAGACGTAATAACGTCATTTTTATGTCCTGTCTGCTCTATAATATGTTTCGCAATAGAGGAGCTAGGCTATCGTCTGTTCTTACCATTGATTGGTTCTGAAAATTCCATTTGTTTCTGGAGCCATTTAGGAATATGCTGTGAAACCAGCCAGCCCTTACTTGCAGATATCGATGAGTCCTGCCTAAATATATATATATATATATATATATATATGTGTGTGTGTGGCCACGTGTACATTCAAATTGGTAAATACAGTGGGACGTGACATTATATTTCTCATGTTCAAAGGGTTAAGATGGATGGATGGATATATTTTCATCACATTCTCAATTGTTATGATATCGGCTGCATAAAAAGTCTTTTTAACAGCAGTGTTTAAATGTACTATCACCTCTGTCATTTGGTTTAGTCATTCATCTTCATGGTTATTTCGACCTTCAATATATCCTCGTTTTAACTTGACCTAAGTAGTCTATTTTCTCACCCACCTCTTAACTCACTCTTTATTAATTTCATATATATATGTACTCCTATGACAAGTCCGTGTGTGATGGATCAGACTGTTCGAAATGTGTGTTGGGCAAATGCAACATTACACGATTCAGACAAATTACGTCTTCCTTCTTATTGCTTTATCTAAATTCATAAAGGGAGCTAATTGTTTTAAATAGAACTTACGTTGCTAAAACTACTACTTGTTTCTAGTCAAAAATATTTTTTGAAAAAAGAGTATTAGAAACTGAATTTCACGAATTTCATCTGTAACTTATAAAGACACACTTTTAGGTTACTTTTGACAATCGAGAAATTTTTGAATTGACAACCTACTCACAAAATGATCGAGTATTAATCAACTTCTTATTATGTATTAAAAGAGCAGAAGATTTTCTTTTCATAAAAGGATAATGAAGAGATTTACACGGTGTCATTGAAACTCGTTTCAGGGAAATACAACTGTAATGATAGAAGACAAGAGCCAGCCAAACAGATCGCTTATTAGAGAAATCAACACATATTTATAGATTTTCATGTACATTATTATCGATTATTGCTAGAAGACAAACACAGTCTTCTGATTGGTGGTTGTTTCTCACTGAAAGTTAATCTTTCATCTGTTTGTGGCTGTTTCTTGAAGGTCAGATCATCTGCTATCTGCAAATTGTGTCCACCTACGCAAACGAAGTCTGCTATGATTGGTTGTTGAGTCAGTCAGTCTTTGTTCTTGTTTTCTCATAATCAATATTTGGGACGCAAATATTGACGTAAATAACGATCTACCAATTTTGGTTGGCAGCCAGCCCACATTACATAACGACTTTTCATTCAACTTACTCTAATTATCATAGAAAAATTTCAAATTGTGCGCTTTTATTATTGGCTCATTTGATTGGTTATTAGAGGTGATTTCGATGGCTGTTTGGTGGGGTTGCTATGCTTTAGTCTAGTCCAGCTTTCATCAAATACGGTATAAATCAAAACATAAGTATTAGCACTGTGTAGGCAGACTGATATTCATTACACAGGTTTATTCACATAACAAATAGTGGGTTTTATTTTAAATAAGCTGTCACACAGTGAAGTGCTGTTATACAGTAATATTAATTGATGCGACCACACGCCATTTCGAGCACAATTTATTATTATTCCCACTCATAATCATATCAAGTCACTCACTCATTCGCACAACTTTCTTTCTTCCTTCATTTATATACACATGAGTGGAATTGATGATTAGACATTTGAATACAAATCAGTAATATGGGATAATGTACATTCAGAAATAATAATAATATCAATATGAGTGTTATGAGTGATCAATTACAACAATCAGATGGGAAATAAGACGAGTGTTTTTGTTTTATAGTCAAAATACGTGAGTAACTTGTTAGAATGTTGTGATGATGTACGTGAATTGAATTGAAATAGAATACAATTTGAGATTATTTATTATCCTCCTGTGATTTCACTGACTGACTGACTGACTGGTGGTAATAATATCTTCCATGAATATTTCTGGTATTTGCATTGAGTCATTTCTATTGCATGCGTTGGGTGTAGACCCGATGAACCAACCAGGATTCAGTAATCAACCTCTTTCTACCCCCATCTACCTATATTACTTTTTAGAATTTTAACCCTCTCCCACCATGCTCTTGTGTTTTTTTTTCCTTCACGTTCCCAGTGGAACATAGGGCTCCAAGCTATAGGCTTGAAGATTCCGTAGCAGCGTTGATTTTTTACAGGATGGGGTTGCTAGCCTCATTCCCAACCTTTCCTCCTTACCAGTCTCACTACTGGCTTAGCGAGGTAAAGGTGCGCGCCGGCCGGGGCTCGAACCCCGGACCATGTGCATGGTCGGCGAGCGTCTTAACCGCTGTGCCACCGACGCACAATGCTCTTGTGTGACTGTATGTTAATGCATGCATACAGTGCAGTGTAGTGGTGAGCTTTTTTCTAAGTTACTCATCTCGGTTGGGGTCAACCAATCTTACCTTAGCTAAATTCTTATGTTCCGACAATCTGATTACTCCCAACCTACTAGTTTGACGTATGTAGCTGACTTAACTCACAGTCATTGCAAGGTGTTCTGTAAATTATATTATTTTGTCAAATTGGGTCAACCGACAGGGTCCTTCAACCTACCTACAGTGCTTGTCCTAGCTGAGTGAGTTTGTAGATTTGAATGCTACCACTCTAATTCCTGCTTTATTGAGGGTCCTACGTAGGGAGGGTTTCAGATGTCCCTTCCTTATTTGGTAAAACTACGGTAGATGTCTTATTATCTCTCTTATTTATGCTGTCATTACTCGTTTTACAATTATTTTTCTTTTTCTTTTGGCCCTTTTTGATCTTCCTGATGAATTTTATAGGATAGTTAGTTATTTAACACCAACACTCTCTTCTTCTATCGGTTTTATTTCGTCATTTAGGTCTTTTCTTGGGCTACTTAGTGCTACTGCTCGGTTGACACATATGAACTCACTAGTAGAGGGTATTAAATTCACATTTGAATCAGAAAATGAACAAGGAGAATTAGCTATGACCTGTAAGATTGTAAAATAAACCGAATAGAATAAGGTAAATTGCACACTAGTGTTTATAAAAAACCAATGCATTCTGCTAATAGATATTTAGACCTATTTAATTCATCTCATCCGTCCGTTATCTGTCTGTTAAGGCAGGCCTAGTTAAGTGTCTAACAAACCGAGCAGTAGCACTAAGTAGCACAAGAAAAGACCGAAATAACGAAATAAAACAAATAGAAGAAGCGTTGCAACACTCATATTATTATTATTATTATTTCTGAATGTACATTATCCCATATTACTGATTTGTATTCAAATGTCTAATCATCAATTCCACTCATGTATATAAATGAAGGAAACAAGAAAGTTGTTTGAGTGAGTGAGTGACTTGATGTGATGATTATGAGTGGGAATAATAATAAATTGTGCTTGAAATGGCGTGTGTGGTCGGATCAGTTAATATTGCTGTATAGCTGTCACTACACTGTGTGTGTGACAGTTTATCAAAATAAAATCTTATCCATAATAATGGAGTAGTTATACTTATACTTATAACCGCTAATGGGTTATCGTAAAATCATTTCGATTCTAGAAGTCAAACAAAAATTCTTCTCCCACAGTGTGTAACTGCAAGACTAGTTACACCATGCTGCTATTAGTCCCTTAATTTTCTTAATTTAAAGTCAAATTGAAGTGTGCGTTGAGATGTTGTCTAGTGGCAAGGGGGGAGGGAGGGAATGAAAGCTTTTCGACGAAACCATTCAAGAGCTCGGAGAACATAACTACACTAAAATCATCCACCTGGACTACAAATTTACCCCATTCTAGTGGACTACTGAATTCCATTCCATCATGTACCTTGAAGATTTTGTTGGGTTCGGCCGCCAGCGAGGGGTAGGTACCGCTGAAGATTTTCGAACCCCGGAAAAAATGACTGTTCAATACTCCCTACTGGTCCTCAATATCAGTTCATGGTATAAGTTGAAATTGATTATTATTATTAGTCTGTTAAATATTTCCAACAATTGGAAGCTTGCAGAAAGGGAAAGGTGCCTACTGACTAGAGGAAAAGTTACCTCGAGAAACTACCAAAGAAGGGCGACTTAGGCCTCACTCTGCAAGAACTGGAGAGGAATCATGCTCCTGTCAACGCCAAGTAAAATCCTGAGTCGCATCATCCTGGAGAGAATAAAGGACACACTGGATACAGAACTCCGACCACAACAAGCTGGATTCAGGAAAGTCAGGCAAATCATTTACTGACAAAATTGCAACTCTACGCATCATCATCACAGAACAAAGCATGGAATGGAAATCAAATCTCTACCTCAATTTTATAGACTTCGAGAAGGCCTTCGACAGCGTTGACCACGAAGTAATTTGGAAACTACTCGTATACTACGGCGTGCAGCGCCCAAATATTCATCAACCTTATTCAACAGCTGTACGACAACGGCACAATGTCAAGTCATTCACAACGGAAAACTCAGCCAGGCGTTTGGAGTAAACACAGGAGTCAGACAAGGGTGCTTGCTTATTATCACCAATGAGTGATATTCCTAATTGTGGTGAACTGACTGGATTATGCGTCAGACTGTGGGAAACGAGAAGACAGGAATATCCTGGACCGAAGCGAAGAACCTAGAAGACCTGGATTTCGCGCGTGGATGATTTGTGTTTTATGTCACACAAAATTGAAGACTTAGAGGCAAGAGAAAACCGACAAACTGGTCGAAGAAGCAGCTGACGAAGACAGAACTTCAGGTGAACATAGGTGAACAAGACGGAGGTTATGAAAATAACCAACCAACCAACAACAACAACAACAGCAGCAGAAACATCCAGCCAACAGCCAATCACCATCAACAGGAGGGAGTTGAAAGAGGTTACTTCATTCACTTACTTATCTAAGGAGAATTGTCTCAACCACACGCAGTCGGAACGGACGAGAATGTCAAATCGTGCGAGAATCGGGTGGGGGGCGAGAAACACAATCATTCATCAACCTGAAACCAATCTGGAAATCTTCGTCACTCAGCCAGCATCAACAACGAAATTCGGCCGGATTTTCAATACAAACACGTCAAGTCAGTCAGTTCTTCTGTATAGAACGGATCAGAAACTTGGCTGGTGGGTAACAAAGAATATTTCCACCAACAGCCTGTTGCAGACGTTACCTTTATCAACAACTAACTGTCTTCGCTGGATCTATACTGAAGATCAGATGGACGGGCCGGGCTGGGCCGGAAAGAATCACCGACAAGCACCAAACTATGGGAACAAACAAAACAAGAACAAATCGCCCAACGACAACAACAAATATGCAGGAGAAAGTGGAGATGGATTGGACACTCGCTCGCTGAGGAGGCCGCGCTGGGTGACATCGCGTGAGCGTCAGGCTACTGCTCGAGTGGAACCAGGCCGAAAGGGAAGGACGCGGCGAGTGGGACGTCAGTGCAAGGGTGACATGGAGGAGATGGTGTGAAGAGGAGTTGAAAGAGTATGGACCGACATGGATGCAGGTGAAAAGTACAGCAGAAGACAGAAACAAGTGGAGACGTGCAGTTGAAGCCCTATGTTCCAATAGGAACCTAAGGGAACAATAACATCAACATTACAATAAAAGTCAACCTACCTCACCCATTTTCATTTTATCCACATAGATATCCATACAGGGAATGTCTGATAATTTGACAGAGATTCCAGGGATAAGTGCACCAACGCGATTAAATTTAGTATCACCGAAGAGTGTTATACTGACAACGCCACAGGATTCACTCAGTCCATAGCCTATTAACACCTATTAAAGCAAACACAAGAAATGTTTTGAAGATAGGATGCGGTTAGAGGATGAGAAAATAATGCATGCATAAGAGATAAGATAAAACAAGTAGACAGTAATTAAAAAAAATTAACAGAAATTATCGTGTACGCAGTTATTGCTTATGCACATCCATCGTTCATCTTCACTTGTGAAGAAGAACATGATGGTAGACTACATTTCCTTGACGTCCAATTGATCAGAAGAGAGACAACAAAGGTCACTCCAGAAGAGATGTCTACAGAAAACCTACATCTGTAGGACAATACAATACACATTTCCTCAGTTTTGTACCAATCCGATACAAAATAAATTTGTGCGTTGGTGGCACAGTGGTTAGGACTCTTGCCGACCATTGCAAATGGTCCGGAGTTCGATCCTCTGCCGACGCACACCTGATATCTATGGTCAGCCTGCAAAATTTGGGCTACCGATATCACATGCTGAAAATTCCATACCTGTACCATGAATACGTTGTGGAATCAAGCTGTAATCAAAAATTTAAAAACTTGGCCAGATGCCGTCTCACGAATAGAGCAAGACGTATCTGTACAGATGACTCCCTAGAAAGTGAGTTATGATACGTCCAAAATACGCTGGTCCAAATGGGTTATCCTGGTAGATTTGTAAGGAGACAGGCACATGAACACCAGGTAAAATAAAGAGAACACAGTTAAAAAGAAACAACTCTTCAGAAAATTGCAATTCAATGGGGACGTGGCTACTGAAGTCTTACATCAGAGATTATCGAGAGCGATGAAACGGACTTATACTGCCTCCACCCTTTGTTTGTCACTTTCCAGCTGGCGACCAATTTTGATTGCTCAAGTGAAAGACAAGCTACCTAGTAAGCTGTACCACTTCTATGTGTATCTATAAATTTAGTTGCTCCTGTGGAGAGAGCTGGCTATATAGGGCGAACAACTAGACAGCTTAACAAACGCATTAATGAGCATCTTCCTTCATGGTTCGGATAAGGTCAAATAAAATCTATACGAAGTTCTATTTTGGCTCATTTGATTGGTGACAGTGGTCACCAAGTGGACAGAAATAGTGCCGCCTTCAAAGTTATCTATCGCATTCCATCGAACCACCTTTCGAACGGAATAAGACACATAGCCGAAGAAGCTATGGGAATCAATTCGACAGAACAATCCTTGTGTCTTTGCATATGACAAAAGAAGTTTGTTTTACCTTTATCTCTCCCTTGCTTGGCCTAGGTGAATTCTAATCAAAACCTACCCACACACCCTTTCTTATTTTACCATTTCCTTCGTACTTTTATGATATTTGTCTGTTTAAACTCTGATTATATCTGTCCACTTCACCTTTTAAGATTTGATCTAATTTATTTATTTATTGAATTGTCTACATATACACTTATATACATATACTATCTTCGTTATCCTTGTCACCTGCATGAACCTTATTATCAATACTTTGTTATCATTATAGTCATCGTTATTAACTACGCTCAAAAAATTTACCACATTATTACTATTATTTGATTCACAAACAAACCGTCATTGGTCAAATTTTGTTTGATACATAAATCTATGTAGTTCAGAGTAAAGCCTGAAGAAGGGGATCTAATTGAAAACAACAATATTTTTCGCCTGTTATATATATCTTGTTCTAATATTGCTTATTTACTTATTATTCCCCTGGCTTCCGAATTAAGCATACGGCTGGCTGGCTGGCTTCAACAACACATCTCCATTTTCTTCTATTCTCTGCCATCCACTTCACCTGGCTCCACGATGGCCCATAATCTCTCATCCCCTCCTTCTCAAACTCACACGATCTACCCCATGTCACCCTTGCACCAATGACTCACTCGTCGTTTCTCATTCCAATTTCACTCGAGCGATGGCCTGCATTGAGCACCATATCATTCGACGGTCTCCTCAATGTATACCCCCCATCAATCCATCTCCAGTTTCTTCGACATATTTGTTGAGAGAGCGACTCTTCGTTAGTTGGTTTGTCCCCAGTCAGAGTTTCTTGTCGCTAACTCTTTCACCGACCGGTCATTTGATCTTCGGTATGTAGCCAGCCAGCCAGCCAGCCAGCGAAGTGGGCAGTTGGTGATAAAAGTTTCTATCAGGCTGCCGGAAATCCTTTTCGTGACTGACACGCAGTGCAAGTTCCTGACCTGAGTGACTTCACTGACATTTGTCTTGGAAATCTGAATCCTGTACTTTATGCTGAGGGGGAGTCAGGCAAAAAAGATTTCCAAACTGGTTTCAGGTTGATGAAGGCGTATCTTGCCTCTCCGATTCTGCCCGCCTGGATGGTTTTCACATCTTCATCCGTTCTGATTGAATGTGGTTGAAACTGGGCTTCAGAGATAAGTGGAGGAAGTAACCTCTGTCAAATCTCACTAGTTGATGGTGATTGGTGCTGGTTGTTGTTGTTGTTGTCGGTTGGTTGGTTATCTTATTCACCTCGTGTAGAAAGGCGACTGTCTACTCCCATGATGGGGCATTCGCCATCAGCTGAGTGCCAAAAAGTGCCAAAATCCTCAATAACAAAACATCTTGTGGACTATGGACATGATATTGACGCTGTCAAGTCATTCACTATTGTCAGCAGACAGACAAAGAAACAAGAAGATGCTTGCAATTGCACAGAGGCTTGTGTAATTCGAGTTTATAAACCAGGTCTCCGTGTACAAAAGGAGATGGTCGTGACTCTGAATCTGCCATGGTAATACGTTTTACTTATTATTATTACTGTTATTAATATTCTTGATTCATATAAAACTATCCTTTATCAGTAGGAATAATCTTAACTCACTTCAACATTATTATTATTGTTAATTATAATTATTACTATTGATATTATTCTGTTTGCAATTCTTGTCATATTCTCTAATGACTAATTGTTTATCTAAGTGATGTGTAATTGAAGTGTAATGCAATTTATCTTAATTTTGATCTCTCATACACCCTCCCTCTCCCCTTATCTATTTGAAGAAGACCTTGAAAACATTCTCACCTGTCTTTCTGCATGACCAATTCAATGTAGTTTGTTCACTTACCAGTCCAGTATCTCCCAATGTAATTTCAAAAGTATATCCATCCGTGTATGTAGAGTACTGAGCAGCTGATAAGTTCTGCCGAAATCTGATGAATCCATCAATAAATCATCCCGCTTTATTAACCTCTATTGCTTGTTTTAAATTCGTATCGGGAAATAAACGTTTTCTAATTATTCACCTCCGTTTTCGAGTTTGCGTGATATTCAACTGCATAAATCATTCACACGCGAAATCTGCATCTTCTTGAGTCCTCTCATAGGTGAGTGAAGCGTATTCCTGTCTTCTTACTCACCCACTCACTCACTTACTCACTCACTCGCAACGTACAGTCTCAGACATAATTCAGTCCAGTCGACCACAATCAAGAATGTCATCGTTCGTGATAATAGACAGCCAACCAGCCAGCTTGTCTTACTCCTTTATTCACTTCGAACAATTCGCTGAGTGTCCCGTTATGGATCACCTGACTGACACGTGACGTTGTTACACAGCCAGCTGTTGAATGAGATTGATAAAGACTTGCACACTACACACCGTAGTGTTTAAGTAGTTTTCAAATTACTTCTCGATCAATGCTGTTTGTCGGAGGCCCCTTCGAAGTCAATCTATGAAGTTGAGGTAGAGATTCGACTGCCATTCTATGCCTCATTCTGTGATGATGACGATGATGCGTAGAGTTGGAACTCAATTAGAACATGATTCCCCTTTCCTGAACCCAGTCAGCTTGTTCCAGTGAGGCTAATGAAGTCCTGTATCCAGTGCATGGTTTATTCTGCCCAGGATGAGTTGACTTAGTGTTTTACTTGGCGTGGACAATAGCAATATTCCATGGAGTGAGGAGTAAGTTGCCCATCTTTTGTAGCTTGATAGGGTAGCCAACCTTTCTCCCAATCTGTAAGCACCTTTCCTTCCTCCAAAAACCTTTGTAATAGTGGGGTCAGCGTATCTGCCTCAGTTGTTGGGTCCACTTTCAGTTCCATGGGGCATTCCACCTAGCCCTGATGCCTTCCCGGACTTCAGCAGCTTGATCGGATTCACAATACATAAAATGTGACCTCCCACGATGCGTTTTTAGTATTGCTAGAAGACAAACACAGTCTTCTGATTGGTGGTTGTTTCTCACTGAAAGTTAATCTTTCATCTGTTTGTGGCTGTTTCTTGAAGGTCACATCATCTATCTATCTGCTAATTGTATCCGCCTACGCAAAGAAAGTGTGCTGTGATTGGTTGTTGAGTCAGTCAGTCTTTCTTGTTGTTCTTCTTTTCTCATGACCAATATTTGGGACATAAACATTGACGTAAATTACTGTCTACCACTTTTCGCTATCAGACAACTCTCACCACACTTTAACTGCTGCATAACGCAGCGATGATACATGATACCTGTTCATTTAACTGAAAGTAGTAATATTACTAAAAAAAACATACATATAAACCATTAGATTTTGGCATACATTTAACAATCACTTACTGGACAACCAAAAACCGCTCTAGTGAAGCGTATAATTTCAGTTGGAGCCGGGGCACTACCACAAACAATACACTGGACACGACCACCTAATATATTCTTGATTTTATTGAAGAAGAGTACATCCCAAATACTGTTCTGATTGTAGATATTCCTGCAATAGAAGAGAGGTGATAACAAAAAAAAAGACATATTTAGCGAAGAGATCTCACCTAACCAGCAAAATAGACTGATCACCATACAGTACGACAGAATGTAAGATTAATGTTAAATAGCTAACTATCCTATATAATTCCTATTATAAAGATTAGAAAAGGCCAAAAGCAAAATAAAAATAATGGTGAGACTAATAATGATAACTAACATAAATAAGAAAGAATATAAGGCATCTACTGTAGTTTAACCATATAAGGAAGGGACACCTGAAATCTTCCCTACGTGGGATTCTTAATAACAAAGCAGGAATTAGTGAGGTGGTGGCATTTAGACCTACAAACTCATTCAGGTAGGACAAGCAGTGTAGGTAGGTTAAAGGACCCTGTCGGTTGACCCAATTACACAAAATAATATAATTTACAAAATACCTTGCAATGACTGTGAGTTAGGATAACCACCTACATAGGTCAAACTAGTAGGTAAAGGGTAGTCAGATTGTCAGAATATAAGAATTTACCTAAGGTAAGATTGGTTGACCCCAACCGAGAAGATGAGTAATTTAGAAAAAAGCTCACCACTACATTGCACTGCATGCACTAACATACAATCACACAAGAGCATGGTGAGAGAGGGTTAGGATTCTAAGAAGTAATCTACTGACTGATTCTACACCCAACATGCACAATAGGAATGACTTATTACTCACACCGAAAATATAGAAAATATTACTACTACCAATCAAATCAGGCAAGGAGACACTGTTAGTTTTTGTTCCAGAAAGTATAATGATACGATCTAATATCTTCGACAGAAAACTGGTGAAAGGAGAAGATGGATGACGACTATCGTACTGAAATGTAGCACCTGTTTGAAAAAAGGAAAACATCGGGCAAAGTTAAACTTTAAGCACCACCCACCATCTACCAATCAAAGAAAGTGACCTTGAACGCACCAATCACGTGATGGAGGCATTTTTGTGTATGGAATACTTATATATATTTATGAAAAAAGATGTATAAAACCGGTAGAAAAGTGTTACAGAGGAGACCTTCTTCTCGCATGTGATAAAAATACCTCTCAGTTTTAGGTTGGAGTATAAACAGAGTATAATACCATTGTGCGTATTACATACTTTTATTAAGTCTCATAGTGTAATACTGTAATATTTCAGTTAATACTACTGCATAACACCACTGTGAGACTTTATCAAAATAAAAATGTTATCCACAATGGAATTATACTCTACCACAACCACAATGTGCAAGTTCTATTCTTACATCAGCAGAGTAATTTAACCACATTCTATGTATGTAATTGTTTAGGTTCTTCTAACCCTAACAATAACCCGAATCTTTCGTCAACCTAACCTAACCCTAACGTGAAAATATCCCTAACGCTAACTGTAATCTAACTCGAACTAAACCTACTTTCGCCTTTATTAGGTTAACCTAACTCTAACTTTTCCTTGACTTAAAGCGTAACTTAATCTTCCCCGAACCTAAGGTGGAACTTTCCAAATATCCCATTTAATAGCATAACACTGTGGTGAGAGCTGGCTAATAGCCACATTGGTAGATAGTAATTTACTTAAATGTATACTGCTCGTGAGAAAAATAAGAACAAAGACTGATTGACTCAACAACCAATCACAGAAGACTTTTCGTAGGCGGATAAAATTTGCAGATAAGTGATCTGACGTTCAAGAAACAGTCAGTCACAAAGTGATGAAAGATTAACTTTCAGTGAGAAACAACCACCTACCAGAAGACTGTGTTTGTCTTCTAGCAATAATCTATGATAATGTACATGAAAATCTATAAATATTTGTTGATTTCGTAAATAAACGATCTGTTGACTGGCCCTTGTGCTCTGTTGTTACATTTGGTGTCGCTGCCTACCGACAAATGGAAAGCCTATGCCCTTCAGATTTTTAATGAAGACATATGGATCTTCGGGCAGGACTTCGAAGCTTCTGCGCAGTTGGGTGGCGTTCAAGATCTGTCAACGATGAAGCTGTTAATTGGGAAGCTGCTGGTAGGTCGGAAGAAAGCAGCGTATGTAAGTGTGAGGCGAAACACGGACGAATGTTCGACAGGGTCAGACAAACAGTTTCCAAAGTAAGTGGGAAGGACCATATATGGTCACTTCGAGATGATGGGGTTACTCAGACACAAAGAGAAACAGGTGAACATCAGCGAGTGCCGAGATCCCAGACAGCAAGACAAACGAACAAAGCGCCTAGAACCAAGAATACCGAACCAACTTGAGTCGTAAGTCTTTGATGAGTGTGATGAGGGCTATCTGCTAGCCAAAATCGGTAGACATTAATTTACATCAATGTGTATGTCCCCAAAATTGGTCGTGAGAAAAATGAGAAGAAAGGCTTTGCGTAAGCGGATACAGTTAACATATAGATGATCCGACATTCAAGAAACAGCCACAAACAGATGAAAGATTAACTTTCAGTGAGAAACAACCACCAATCAGAAGACTGTGTTTGTCTACTAACAATAATCTATAATAATGTACAGGAAAATCTATAAATATGTGATGATAAATGATCTACTTCCTGGCCCTTGTCTTCTGTCGTTGCAAGTAAGTGGTGCTTAAAGTTTAACCTGGCCCTAACATCGTTCGATTAACTTCACACCGATACACACACACACACGTATAGAAACACACTCTTTATAATGATGAAAATATATACGAATAGTGAAATAGTGGCAAAGAAACACAAAAGTACTTTAATAAATGACCTAATTAGAAGCAATGAAAGATGTACGGTTTTATCGATCTCTACGTTTATTATTATTATTGTTTTTTTACGGTGTTATTTATTTATGCCCAATTAAAAGGAGGCATTGTATTCTTTGTCGGAAACTATGTCACACTCATTCAAACATACAATACACAGTAAGGGTTAAAGAAGAAAAAAGGGTGGCAATATTTTTGTCACAGTAATAATTAGTTCCTTTTCCATACACCAAAAAAACCAACAACAAAAAAAAACATAAACAACATACAAGTGAGATATTTTCTGAGTGCCTTTATATGGTTTTCTCTATAGAGCGATAAGATATGTGTAGATGATACTTTTATAGTGCTAAAACTAGCGAGATCTATACACACAGTTCATTCCTGGAGCGAAACTGAACAATTTATCTCCCAGAATCCAGTTTACTGAAACAGAATCTGACCTGGTTACAACACCCTTAACCCCTCCTCCATGAAATGAAAAATAACAACAACTCGAATGTGATAAGCAATATCATTATATAAACACACGCTGCCTGTATAATTTTACACACTGATCAAATCCAACAATCTACACACCTGGTTTTGTTATCTTTACCAATTGACCGACTTGACAACGAAAAATGACCCCAGACAGACGAATGATTATCAAGTTAGTAAACTTTGTTTTGATACCAGCCAGGGAAGATGTACTATTACCTTTGTAGTTTGGTTTAGTCATTCATCTTCATTGTTATTTTAACGTTCAATATGTCCTTCTTTTAACTTGACCTAAGTAGTCTATTTTCTCACCCACCTCTTAACTCTTTGTCATATATAAGCTGAGTGGATTTTGTAAATTCTTCTGGTTTAATATAGGTGCTTTGATAAAACTATTAGCAGCAGCATTAAATAGCGAAATGTCAGTAAGAGCAGCAATATCGTTTTATTTTTCATTCATTCAGTGGGAAATACAAGAAAACCTTTCTGGAAACAACTGGTGACATCGCTCAAAATCGTTGTCGGTGATGGCTGGCGGAGATGCACCCACTCCTTGTGATTTATAATTTCCAATGAAACTATATTGTTCTTCGTTACTACTATTTCCTTTGTCTCACACCTGTGTTTACTGTCTTTATTATGCATTTCTTCTACGTTCTCCTCTTGCTTTGTGTGCTACATGGAGGGAGTGTGGCGACTTGAACTGCCGCACAAATCTGAAAAGTTCTATGTTGAAAACAGACAGACAAGAAAACCTTTATTATAATGAATATCAGATACGCAATACCAAAATTTTTTCAAACGTATACTGAGTTTCACGAAAAGGATTTCCAGCAGTCTGATGGAGACTTTTATCACCAGCTGCTCACTTCTCTGGCTGGCTGGTCGGCTATATACGCAAGATCAAATGACCGGCCGGCCTCTGTCGGTGAAAAAGAATTAGCAACAAGAAACTCTGACTGGGAACAAACCAACCAACCAACCAGCCAGCCAGCGAAGAGTCGATCACTCAACAAATATGTCGGAGAAACTGGAGATGGATCAGGCGTATGTTGGGGAGACCGTCGAATGATATGGTGCTCAATGCAGGCTATCGCTCGAGTGAAATCGGAATGAGAAACGACGAGTAGGTCATTGGTGCCAGGGTGACATGGAGTAGATCGTTTGAGTTGGAGGAGGAGGAGGAGATAAGAGATTATGGGCTATCGTGGAGCCAGGTGAAGTGGATGGCGGAGAATAGTAGAAAATGGAGATGTGAAGGGCTTATATATAAAAAATTGTTCTGCACATAAAATTAATAATTTCTTTAGGCTGTAACGCAGCTAGCTGATGACAAGCAGACGAGACAAAACAGTGATGCCACCATCGGATTCTGCACAAACCACTGTTATTGCCTGGTTCAAGTTTACTAAACGGGATTCAGAGTAAGAGTACAGGTTTTTATACAGATTGTTAAAACCTGAGTAACTTATTGTTATCAGTCATAGTATGCATTTATCGTGAATTGGAAACCAACGCGAAACAGTTATCCAAAATGTTTCTAACCCAACTTTCACTCAATTATCAACATGTGATGACATGCTAGTAAATGCCAACTGATTAAATAACCACAAATACCATATGGTAGTTCACGTGACGTTTCAACAATCACACACACAGAGTGATCTAATCGTATATTTCGAATCTTTAAAAGTACCATCCGCTTAAACACTTAGTTATCATTACATTTTCTATGATTTTCACGTGTACAAAACTATTTAGTAAAAAAAACTGGGGATAATCACTTAACGCGAAGAGAATTTTCAAAAATATGGGTAAATTGATATAAGTTTAAAAAAATTGGGCATTGTGGTGGTAGAGTATAACTACTCCATTACTATGGATAAGATTTTATTTTGATAAACTGTCACACACAGTGTAGTGTAGTGTTTGTTATACAGTAAGTAATATTAACTGATCCGACCACACACGCCATTTCGAGCACAATTTATTATTATTCCCACTCATAATCATCACATCAAGTCACTCACTCACCCACACAACTTTCTTGTTTCCTTCATTTATATACATGAGTGGAATTCATGACTAAACATTTGAATACAAATCAGTAATATGGGATAATTTGCATTTAATGGTGTTTAGTTGCGGAGCTTTTGTCGTCTCCCCCTCGTCTGGATAACATCTTCAGTGCAATTTTTAGTATAAACTGAGCTGATTTCAAGTTTTTCCATGAGTAATGGAATTGCGTCTCCCGGTAACCATCTTTACATATGTATTGATCATTTTTATTATTGACTTGGATTTTAAACTTTCTAGTCACATGATCTATTTTTTATTAGTTCGTATATTTGGTCTATATTAGCGTGTTTTTTAATTGCACATTCATTTGAGTACCAGGCTTCTAGGAATTCCTCTGTCTAAAATCTTGACATTATCCCAGTTATCAATCAAACTGATGTCCATAATTATCTATATGCCTTGATTGATATGAAACAGGAATATATATCATGTCTTTTCACAGCTGATTTGTGTTCCTGGTTTCTGATTCGACGCACTGGGGACGGCCACTTCAACCACCGATGTGTTGTCTGTTACAGTTCATACATGCAATTTATTTTGTAAATGGTATTAATTTTATCTCCTTTTTCTGTCGCATGTGTCTTTCGGTTTGCACAATATCGAATTAAGTGATTGAACTGGCTGACTGGATGCCTGGCTGGCTTGTGTGCTATATCTATCTATTTGAAACGGTTTCAATATTCTAGCTGTTATTTGAGAGATATTTTCGCTGATATATGGTAGGATGAATTTTCTTGTGGTCTTTGATGATGGTTTCTTGTTGGTGTTGTGATTGGATTTTAAAGAATTTTGATGAGATCGTGAGGACACGCATTATTTTTGAAGACGGTTTGTAGGTATTTTTCGTCCATTCTTTTCAACGCTGGAGTGCTACAGTGTGTTTGAATTCTTTTGTGAACAATGTCTGCACAAAGTATCTTTGGTGAGTATTTGGATTATTGCCAGTATAGTTGACTATTTGATCTGTGTGCGTTGACTTTCTATATACTTGTGTTTCTAAATTTCCTGTGTTGGTTCTGCTGATTAAGACATCTAATTCTTCTTCTCCTGTGTTCACGTAAATCACAACAAGTAACTTATTTTGACTATAACTAAAAACAATCGTCTTATTTCCCATCTGATTGTATTTGATGAATAACACTCACATTATTATTATTTCTGAATGTACACTATCTTATATTACAGTAAATATTACTGTATAACAAACAGTACACAGTACACTATAATGGTGTGGGTAAATCGCCCATTGATTATTGTTAAAACCACTGTGTTATCCAATTACAGTATATCCCCGATGTACCACGATCTTTTTTGTTACCATGGTCTTGATTTTAGATTGTGTAATTCACACAAAAACTTTGAGTAAGCCATTTAGAAGACAAATTTCGCGGACTAGTTGCTTTAATTTTCACAAAAAAACTTTGTTATTCTTCTTTATATTGTTTTAGCTTGTAAGGATTAGTTATGTTTTACGAGTTGATCAAGGATTGATATCAGTTAGACAACCATTGAAAACCAGGGAGTACTGGACAGCTGCTGTTTCATCCTAGTTTGGGAATCATCGGCAGTACGCACCCACTGGGATTCGAACCCAGGACCTTCCGGTGACAAGGCAATCTCGTATACCATTCAGCCAATGGAACCCGATTCAATGGCTCATGAATTCTAACTTCTACCAATTCGTGATTTAGCGCGACCCCAACCGTTGTCGTTGATGGAACATCCATCCACACACATGACATCTAATTAGACCTCACTGGTCACGACTTCTCACTAGAACTCAGGAAACTCCAACCTGTAGCAAGTCACTAGCGAGCATCAGATTAGTTTTCTATAGTTTGGTTTGTAAGGGTTAGTTATGTTTTTACGAATTGATCACGTAGAATAACAGATTAGCACTTATGTGGTGTCAAAATGCATAGTCGTATTTTAGTGTGACAAAAGTGCTCTGGGCTGAAATCGATTACAAAATATTGTGAAATGGGAAACAAGGGTGGTGGTGATTAGTCGTCATAATAGATTTGTGGAGTGTGGGGTAGGAAAATTGACAAGTAAGTCAGTTCAGTGTTATAAAAGGTGTCAGGTGAGTGAGTGGCTAGTACAAAGTGGTGTGTGTTCAAGAGGCGGACGAGATAGTAAGACTGCAATGAGAGGTTCATAATGAAATAACGAATGTGTGAAATGAAACCGGTTATTTGTCTGAATCGTGTTATGTTGTATTTGCACACAACACATTTCGAACAATCTGATCACACACACACGGACTTGTCATAGGAATATATATGAAATTAATTACGAGTTAAGAGGTGGGTGAGAAAATAGACTACTTAGGTCAAGTAAAAAGGAGGACTATAGTGAAGGTTAAAATAACAATCAAGATCACGAATCCAAATAACAGAGGTAATAGTACATCTACCCTAACTGCTGGCTATCAAAATAAAGTTTACCAACAAAGAAGGTAGGTTTAGTTAGTGTGATGACGAATTGTTGCTTTGAACGCATAAAGGTGGTTTAAAGTTTTTAATTGCCAGCTAGGGCTTCCACAAATCTTACGGTACGCCCTCCCCCAAACACGCCTTTATAGATAGGCCTAAACGATGTGTTAACGTCATTTTTATGTCCTGTCTCCTCTATAATATGTTTCGCTATAGAGGAGTTCTCACCATGAATGGGTTCTGAAGACTCCATTTGTTTCTGGAGCCATTTAGGAAAATGCTGTGGAACCAGGTCTTACTTGCAGAGATCGATGAGTCCTCCCTATGCATGTGTGTGTGTTTGGCCACACGTACATTCGAATTGGTAAATACAGTGGGATGTGACATGATATTTCGCATGTTCGAAGGGCTTAGATGGATCGATATATTGGCTTCACATTCTCAGTTATTATTATTATTATTAGCTGCACTAAAAGTGTTTTTAACAGCAGCGGGAAAATCTAAAATTCAATTAAGTAATCAATATGACCTGTTGCACAAGAGGTGGGGTCGCTCTCGTAGTCTAAGTGGTCTAGTGGATAACGCTTTACCTGGCGTTTGAAACTATGGCCACCGGGTTCTAGCCTTGAAGGGAACATCATCACTGACTCACTGGGGAATGCAGGTATATTTAGCTGGCAGACGAGTCCCAAATAGGATGAAATGCGCGTCATCCTGGACTGCATTCCACTGCTAGTCACCATCCACCAATTAAATACAAATTATATATATTTGAAAAATGGTGGCTATATATTAATGCATGTTCTACCCTGAATGCTAATCAAGGTTGAAGCAATGAGAGCTCAGAAGAAAAAACAAACGAAGCAGACAAAGGTCATGAAAGCGAGAAAAATATGGTGATGTGTACTTTTTGTGGTCATGAACTTGTGGTTGTTTATTTCTCCCGCTAACAATATTAAGATAAACAAAAGACTTGCCAAAAAAATTCCGTACTTTTAAACTAGTAAAGCGGTTTTCATTTTCTCTTAAAATGAACGCCATTAAAATGTTTTGTCAGAACAAACCTTTAAAAAATATTTCCCTATCATACTGAACAGGGTATTCACAGTCATTAACATATGCAGAGCATAGAATCAGGGAAAGCACTTAGGCATGTTAGTCACTTATTTCAAATTGAAGCAGAAAAGGACTACTCACTATCCATCCGTAAACAAGAAGCCTCTTTATAGAGATAAGACTGCAATTCGAGGGCGATGGATATAACAACTGAGATAATTACGAAGAAATTAAGAAAATCAGTTCAAAGTACTTTTAATGCTGGCCAATCTATACTTTTTAACATCAGAGATAAAAGGAAAAGTAACTGACTGACTGAATTCAACACAGAACTTTGCACTGATGTGCAGACGTTCGAGTCGCCATACTTCACTCAGCACACAAAGACAAAGAAGTGAGTAAAAATAAATGCAAAACAGAGACAGTAAACACAGGTGTGAGACAAAGGAATAGTAATAACGAAGAACAATATAGTTTCATTGGAAATCGTCATAAGTCACAAGGAGTGGATGCATCTGTGCCAGTCGCTGAGAACGATTTTGAGCCACACAGTAGCACAGTGGTTAGGACTCTCGCCGACCATGCACATGGTCCGAGGTTCGACCCCCTGCCGACGCACACCTGATATCTATGGTAGGCCTGCGAAATTTGGGCTACCGATATCCATGCTGAAAATTCCATACTTGTACCAAAAATACAGTGTGGAATCAAGCTGTAATCAAAAATAAATAAATGAATAAATAAATCCATATTCAAAATTTGGTACATTCTCGTAGGGGCATGAAAAGAAACCGTTTATTCACTTACTCCTCTTGTTCTGAAACTTTTTTCTTAATAGCATGACGGAATATTTTTGGTAGTAAAGGATAAGTTGAAATCCGATCCAGTGTAGCAGAATACAATCGAGTTAGCACTCGTGGAACAGTGAAAAAGTAGGTTGGTTTAACAGCTTGTAGGTCAGACAACAATCCTTGAATACCATCCGTTAAATAGCCAATTCTAGCACCACACATGAGGGTAGACAGCTTTATGTATATGTAAGTACGAAAAATAGATATTTAGCGGGCATTTGGAAAATGTGTAGAAAGAGTGCAGTGACATTGAAAGATAAAAGATACAGGGAGGGCTTCAGAGGCAAATATCCGCTTCAATCTGTTGGAGGAGATCTTATGAGGAGGAGGAGGTGAGAGATTATTAGTAAACGTCGACCCAGATGAAGAGGACCGCAGGGATTAGGGTGAAGTGGAGATGTGCTGTTCAAGCCCTATGTTTCATTCGGGATCCAGGGGAAGAGTATTGTATTCTAGTCTACTGATTTTTTGCACAGCTGTAAATTGTAGGTAGGTGATATATAATATACTTTAGTGCAAAGTTTTACGGCTAGACTGGTTGGTGAATAGCGAGCCGGGATGCAGGTGCAGCAGGTGGAAATACATTCAACCAGACCTAATATATATATATATATATATATATATATATATGTCCAAACCAAGTTCACTTTTAACAGTTTGCAAAAATTTGGTCATTGGATATATGATATTCATTATAATGAAGGTTCTTTTTGTATTTCCCAATGAATGAAAAAGCCAAAACGGTATTGTTGCGCTTACTGACGTTTCGCTATTTAATCCTGTTGCTAATAGCTTTATCAAAGCAGCCATATTAAACCCGAATTTGCGAAATCCACTCAGCTTATATATGTAATAAAGAGTTAAGAGGTGGGTGAGAAAATAGTCTTAACTACTTAGGTCAAGTTAAAAGGAGGATATATTGAAAGTCAAAATAACAATGAAGATCACTAAACCAGACATTGAGTATGGCCGGAAACGCATTTCGAAAACATGGACCTCAACAGTCGTCATTCCATGTAGAGCAGAGACGTCAGACAATATCAGAAGAGTACTCAATCATCTCGACATCAGAGTTTTCTTCAAAACATCAGACACACTACGAAATAACCCTGTCCATATAAAAGACCAAATCCCTAAAGATTCTCTATCTAGTTGTGTCTTTAAAATAAAATGCTTGCTTGGAATGTGATGCGATAAACACCGCACAAACATCGCTAGAGAGAAATCAAGGTGATCAGAAGAAATGAATACCGTACGTAAAGCATCTGTTAGACTAACGAGAAATACATCCCGTTGAACTAGAAAAGCTTGAAAAATCATCAGCCACAGCTTGTCTACACGCTACGCTTTAGAATCAGGCCAGAAAATTGATTTTGACACCAGTGAAATCGTCTTCCAGAAAAAGCATTTCAGAAATCACAAAGAACGTCTCTTATCATCATCAGAAGGACTTCATATCATCAAGTGGAATTCAAATTGTCTGTACTGAATAGGAATGATGGATTAAAGCAGAATCTGACCTGGTTACAACACCCCCAACCCCTCCCACATGAAGTGACAAGCAAGTTCACTATGTAAACACACGCTGCCTGTATAATTTTACACACTGATCAAATCCAACAATCTACACACCTGGTTTTGTTATCTTTACCAATTGACCGACTTGACAACGGAAAATGACCCCAGACAGACGAATGATTATCAAGTTAGTAAACTTTGTTTTGATACGAGCCATAGCAGATGTACTATTACCTTTGTAGTTTGGTTTAGTCATTCATCTTCATTGTTATTTTAACGTTCAATATGTCCTTCTTTTAACTTGACCTAAGTAGTCTATTTTCTCACCCACCTCTTAACTTTTTGTCATATATAAGCTGAGTGGATTTTGTAAATTCTTCTGGTTTAATAATACTCCTCCTTTGATAAAGCTATTAGCAGCAGGATTAAATAGGGAAACGTTAGTCAGTAAGAGCAACGATATCGTTTTGTTTTTGATTCATTGAGAAATACAAAAAGAACCTTCATTATAATGAATACCTGGTATATATATAAATTTGTTCCCAATACTTCTGTTGCATTCCAGGCAGATTTTTTAAAATCTATCTAAATGAGAATTGATTTTGAAAGACTGTAGCCAGAAAGATACCTACTTCGTATGGATGTTTTTTCTTATTAACGCTTACATATAAGCAATAAGGCTACTTGTTGAAGTGAACGGAAGTGAGCATGACACCTGTGTACTATCAAGGTATCACTTTATTACCTGTTAACAGTCATTCAAAGTATTGAATTGAATTTTTGATTTTCCCGTCGATTGATTGAACCGAAGTGCTCAATCTCAGGTTGACATGTTGGCTTCTTGTGCAGATGATTCGACGATGTCTGGGCATTTAATTAGTATACAATTGGTAGATGGTGGCTAGCAGTGGAATCCAGGGTGCGCATTTCGTCCTATTTTGGACTCGTCAGTTGGATATACCTGCATTTCTCACTGAGTGATGATGATGTTCTCACCGAGGCTCGAACTCAGTGCCCATAGTTTCAAACGCCAAAGCGTTATCCACTAGACGACTTGAGCCACGAGAGCCACATCCAGATGACGAGTCCCAAATAAGACGAAATGCGCATCCTGGATTCCACTGCTAGCCACCATCCACCAACTGTATAGTCATTCAAAGTATTTGATAGTAAAATCTAGTAAAGAAAAACCTGATACATCTCCGTTCTGTTACAAACTTTCTCGATAATACCGTTGGCAAAGAGTTTGTCTGATTGATGCATGGCGTATGAACAAGAAAAGAACTGTTCGACGACTTACGCATATATATATATATCACATTTGTTCAAATTCAATAGCTTAAGTAACCACCGCCAATCACATGAGTCAAGTTTCCATTCAAGTTTACGTTATGGGTAAAATTTGCTTTGATAAAGTCTCACAGTGTTGTTATACAGTAATGTTTACTGATGACCATGTTTCGAGCACAATTTATTACTGCTCATAATCATATCAACGTACTCACACAACTTTCTAACTTCGTTTATATAATTCCATCATTATTTTTCATCGCTTGATTTGATTGGTAGTAGTAATATTTTCCATGTTTCCGGTATGAGTGATCAGTCATTCTTACAGCATTTGTTGGGTGTAGACTCGATGAACCAGCCAGGATTCAGTAATCAACCTCTCTCTCACTCTCCACCTACCTAGATTGCTTCTTAGAATCTTAACTCTGTCCTACCATGCTATTGTGTGGTTGTGTGTTAATGAATGGATGCAGTGCAATGTAGTTCTAAGCTTCTTTCTAAAGGACATATGATATGTATCCACATATATATATATATATATATATATATATATATTTATGTGTGTGTGTGTATGTTGGTCTCCTTCTGTTTGCTCGCTTAGTCTGTGACCATTTCACTGGTATGAAGTTGTCTCCTTTATCAATGTATATTCTCCTTATATTATATTATATATAATATGAGTGTTTGTTGACAGTCCGTTGCTTGGTGACATATATCCATATATGTTTGTTGACATGTCTGCTATATTCGCTATGTATATTTGGATCGACACTCCATTATAATTAGCCATTCATGTTAAGACTGTCTAATGATTTTTCCCACGCTTTGTCTGGAACATTTATATATATTCGCATTCACAATTTGTGTGAACTACTTTACTTTACAACTACTTTACTTACTTACCACTTTGGTGTGAGACCATTTATTTTCGTCTCCTTGTGTTTGGACAATAGAAGTATCATCGCAAACCTAGTGGTCTTCTGATTTCCGCCTTCTTGCGTCAGGACTATTAGTTTCTCGACCAGTCCATAACAATAATTTAGCGACGAGTACATAACAATTTGGCGACGGGGAAACTAGAACATAACAACATATCTTCCCTGGCTCAACCAGTCTTACCTTAGGTAAATTCTTACGTTCCGACAATCTGACTAACCCGATCTACTAGTTTGACTGACCTATGTAGTTGACTTAACTCACAGTCATTGCAGGGTATTTTGTAAATTATATTATTTTGTCTAATTGGGTAAACCGACACGGTCCTTCAACCTACCTACAGAGTTAGTCCCTGATTCCTGCTTTTTTTAATAATCTTATGTAGGGTCTGAGATGTCGCCTGTTTGTATGATAAAACTGTAGATGACTTATATTCTCTCTTATTTTTGTTATCATTACTAGTTTCACAATTATTTTTCTTTTCCTTTTGGCCTTTTCTGATCTTCCTAATGAACTTTATAGGATAGTTATTTGATATCAACGCCTCTGTGATATGTTTTATTTCATCATTTAGGTTTTTTTGTGCTACTTAGTGCTACTGCTCAGTTTGTTAGACACTTAAATAAGCCTACAAACAGTGGATGTAGCAATGGGATGGATCACCAATATGCGCTATCGTGGCAGACATATTTATGGACAGGTGGGGAAATATAGCTGATTACTGAATCCTGGCTGGTTCATCGAGTCTACACCCAACACATGCTGTAAGAATGACTTATCACTCATACCGGAAACATGGAAAATATTACTACTACCAATCAAATCAAGCGATGGAAAATAATGATGGAATTATATAAACGAAGTTAGAAAGTTGTGTGAGTACGTTGATATGATTATGAGCGGTAATAAATTGTGCTCGAAACATGGTCATCAGTAAACATTACTGTATAACAACACTGTGAGACTTTATCAAAGCAAATTTTACCCATAGTGGAATTATACTCTACCACAGTGCACATGTTGTATTCTTATGTCAGCTAAATCCAAGATTATATGCGATTAGAAAGTGTTTTTCCTGTGGTTGCTGTTCTCTGAACTGGATAGTTAATTTGTGCAACTTTCAACGCCCGACTCCTTCTAGGCTACTTGTATCGATATTGGAACTGATTGTTTCTTTGACTTGAACTTTGACCCAAAGTGTGTGAGGTTTCTTCTTATCGGTTCATAAATTTTGTCTATCTCGATGTGTCTATTGATTGATGATTCACTGGAATACCAGGTAGGCTTCTAGAAATTCTCTAGCATTCTCGGTGTTGTTTCCTCTGCCTGTCTAATATTTGAAGGTTGGTTGTTTCAGTCGAATTGATATTCGTGGTTGTCTGTATTCAGTGAGACGATATGAGTGAATGAGGGAGTGATTGTCATATCTTTTGTCGGCTAGTCTATGATCGTGGATACGAAGACGAAGAGGAGGGACGTCCACTTTGGCCAATGTAGTGTTTTTCGCAATTTATTTTGTAGATGATGTTGGTTGTATCTTCTTTCGTTGTTGAGTCTGCCTTCTGGTTGACATGGAGCCAGCTGAGTGAAGTGATTTTGTTGGTTTGTGTGTGACGTCAATTACTAAAGGTTTGAAGAGTCTTGCAGTGATTTCAGAGACGTTCTTTTGTATATGGTAGGGTGATTTTCTTTGTGCTTTTTTTGGGGACTTTTGGTTTGATAGGTTGGCTTGGGGGTATATGTCTTTTGATGATGTTCCGTGGGTATCCATTCTTTTGGAAGACGTCCATGAGATATTTTTCTTCAATTTTCCTTAAGGTGGGAGTGCTGTAGTGAGTCCTGACTGGCGCTCTTGAATAGTGTTTGTATGCAATTCCTTTTGTGTGTTATTGGATTGTTGCTGTTGTAATTCAGAATTTGGTCTGTGTGAGTTGATGTTTTATAAATTTGAGTTTTTAACTCCCCTGTGGTTGTTCGCTTGACTAAGACGTCCAAAAATGGTATTTTGTTCTCGGATTCCTCTTCTCTTGTGAATTTGATATCGTTGAAGACGTTGTTTATTAAGTTATGAGTTTTATCTAACTCGTTTCTTTTGATTATTACAAATGTGTCGTCGACGTAGCGTATCCAAACCTTGGGTTTGATCTTTGGTAGGATTATGTTTTCGGGCCTTTGGATTACTACTTCTTCAATCAAGCCTGATATTGGCGATCCCATGTGTGTTCCTTTGAATTGTTCATATATTTGGTCGTTGAAGTGGAAGTACGTTGTTAGGCATAGGTTTATGCATTCCATCCGGCTTGTGTGTTGCATTTTTGATTGTTGTGCTAGGGGGTGTTCGTCGTTGCTGTGTAATTGCTCCCTGGTCTCTTTTGCTAGTTTCTGTCCCATTGAGATATATAATGTTGTGACGTCGAAGCATGTCATTATCTCTTGTTCATCTATTTGGATGCCTTTGATTTTCTCTAGAAATGGGATAGCAGAATCGATGCAGTGATCACAAGATTCCGTTAGGTGTTTTAGTTTTCTGTATAATTCTTTGGATAAATGATATGTTGGAGTTCCTGGGAGTGACACAATTGGTCGTGACGGGATATTTGGCTTGTGTATTTTGGGTCTTCCGTAGAATCGAGGTAGGACTGGTCCAATGGACTTCATTCGCCATTGGTCTTGTTTTGTTATCTGACCAGTTTTGGTGAGCTTGTTTAAGGTTCTTTGGATGCGGTTGTCTAGAGTTTGTATGAGATTTGTTGGGAGCTGTTGATATACATCCTCGTCTTTGAGTAGTTCTTCAGCTTTCTTGTTGTATTCTTCTCTGCCCATGACTACTGTTGTTCTTCCATTGTCAGCTGGTAGGCTGAAGATATCCTTCCTATTTTTCAGCTTTTTGAGGACCTTCAGTTCTTGAGAGTTGAGTTGTATGTGTTGTTTTTTCTGTTTGACCATTGCTACGATTGTTTGGCCTATCTCTTCTTGTGTTTCCTCGTTCAAGTTTGATGATTTGAGTAATAATTCAAGGGCAGCGAAGAAATCAGTTTTTGAAGCGTCTCTAGTGTTGTAGTTTAATCTTTTTTGTAGTAGTTGTTGTTCCATTTTTGATAAGGGATTGTTTTCATAGGTTGACTACGCAGTCAGTTGTCAGTTGGGTGCGTTGTCTGGTTGTTGTTTTCTAATCTTGGCTAGCTTCGTCTTGAGAACTCTTCGTCTTTGTTCTCTGTGTCTTCTACTTGACAGTGTAATTGCGGTGATCAGCGTTGACAGGTGTTTCTAGTGAAGGTTGTGGTTTTCGCTAATTTTTCTTTTTGGACATCTATTATTTGTTGATCCGATAATGTCCGTCTGTAATTATTAATTTGACCATTCGTCTTCCACATTGTTCGGCAAATTTCCATCTTATTGGGCAGTTGACTGGTGGTTTGTATCTGACACTAGTCGGAAGGTTTTGATGACAAAGGCACTCATGGAGAAGGAATAATTGTTCTCTGGTGGATCCTTGCCTTTTGGCGAAGTCTTCCCACCCCCAACCCTTCGAACAGAAAGAAGCGTGTTCCGCTTATAAGATTTAGATATGATGGGGAAGATTTGTAGCTAAGGTGGATAATTTTGATGTGGTTGTGTTCTCTACGCTGGATAGAAAGGGTAGATGTGCCTGATTGACTTTAGCGCAGAGGTATAATCCCAAATTTCTTAAGCTCGAGAGTGCAGTCCACCTCCACCAACTTTGTTTGGTATTGGCAACTAGGTAGCATTATCAGTCTTCACACAGGTAGTGTAACCCTTATCCAGGTCTGTTGAAAGCAGATGAGTTCAAATAGACAGGCGACTGGACAAACAGATGCCTAATAACTACTACCAACTACACATTTGAAGAAACCACTCCACTACCACCAACACTGATCTAAACTTTGCATAGATAGAAAACCGACTGGGAGTACTGGACAGCTGTTTCGTCCTAGTTTGGGACTCTTCATCAGTAGGCACCCACTCCACTGGGGTTTGAACCAAGGACCACGCCCTGGTTATAAGGCAAGCGACTCGTAGACAATGAAGCCATTGGGACCCGACCTAATCCAATAGCCAGCTAGTGCATGAATTCTAACTTCTGACAATTGACGACATAGTGCAACCGCTAGCTGATGTCTTCGTCTTTGTCCTCACACCCGACCAGCTGAACCCTACTGGCCACGACATCTCACTAAAATCCCAGGTAACTACCCACCTGAATAGGGCCAGTCGCCAGTGAGCATCTCATTGATATTCGAGCAACCAGAAGGTCGTGGGTTCGAACCCCAGTAAGGTGTGTGCGTACTGATACAGAGTCCCAAACGATAATGAGACAGCAGCCCAGTTCCCCTAGGTTTTCCAATAGTTCTCTAACCAATGCCAGCCCATGATGAAATCCCGTAACCAAAAAATAAATAAATAATAAAGAAGACTTACCGATACTAACTGTTCCATTACATGAGCCAACGGTAGGTAAGATAAATGTGCAGCACTACTATTGAAGACCTAAAGGATGAAGATAGACATAAGAGAACACAATAAGAAATCCAGTCACCGTGTGGTTGTGACATAGTCGCAACATAGAACTTTGTAAAGAAGAAGTACAGCAGTTCAATTCAAGTAGCCGAACTTCATGTAGCACAGAAAGGGGGAGAGAGAAAGAGAGAGAGAACGAAAGAAAGAGATAAAAGTGGATTCCAAAATTACTAAAATAAACAAATTCCATATTAATTTGTTTATTAGATGTATCACACACAATCACACAGTGAAACAGTATTAGTATTCACTCGATGACACAGTTTCAAACAAAATTCATTATTGCTGTTCATAATCATTTCACCATCAATTATAATCACACGACTTCGAAACTCCAGTTTTATAGTTTTCTTTGTCTTCTCCTATTTGTCGTCGTCATTGAGGTAGTAGAATTTTCCAGATATCTGTGTGGATAGGTGTTGAATTATTCGTATTAAACGTATTTTATCAATCTCTCCCTCCACCCTGTTAACTATATTAGATTTTAAAACTGTCATCCTATCCCATCCAGCCTATTGTATAGTTGCGTGTAATTGCATGTAGTGAGTCGTATAGCTGAACTTTTCACTAGATTTCTTATCTTATTCAGTTGGGTCAACCAATCTAGATTTTGTTAGGTTTTTATGCTCCGCTAGTCAGACTCACTAATCCCGGTTTTACTAGTTCGACCTAATTATCTGACCTGACAATCATCTCAGGCAGGATATTAGATAAACTAAATTGTTTTGTGTCAAAGGCTCCACAGGATTGATCTTTTAACCGACAAACCTTGTTTCAAATTGAGTTTGTGGTTGGTTTGAATGAATTCCAGCCACTTTTATTCCTGCCTGCCTTGTCAAGAATTCTGCGTAAGGTGGTTTCCGAGGTTCCTTCCTTGTATGGAATTACTACTGATGATTCAGATTCATTATTGTTGGTGTCGTCATTAATATTATTATTATTATCACTATTATTATTACTATTATTATTATTATTGTCATTATTATCATTATCACTACTATCATTATTTTATTTTTACATTTCCCTACATGCTTTCTGACTAATTTATCAAGGTAATTATTAATCAAGTTTCAAGGCTTCTCTTATATGTTTCATTTCCTGTCTTAGATTTTCCTTCGCACTACTCAGTTTTTGTGCCCTATTTTCTATTCAACACTTCACCAATCCTCTTTTTACTGACATAGGATGGGATGATCGGAAGTCCCAATGCATCTGTTAGAATGTGTGGGTTTCTTGTAAACACACACACACACTAGTGTGTTTAACTTCCCATCTTCTTTCCTTTGTACACTGCAATCTAACATTGGAAGCACCCCAGCTTCTTGACTTTCCAATTCATCATAAGTGAATTGAATCACCTCCACCTTTGAGTTAGTTAACGTGTTCGAGAAATCTATCTATATATCCTGTGTTCTAAGTATAGTGAATGTATCATCTACACACCTCCACCATACCATTGTGGTGGATGGGGGTGAACATTTCAATAGCTATGTTTTCCCACCTATTCATGAATATATCTGCTACAACCGGGGATATTGTTCACCGCATTGCAACACCCTCAATGCGTTTGTTTATTTTCTTCTGGAATTAAAATACTGTGGAAGTCAGGCATAGCTGCACTCCCAGCATTATGTCCTCAAGTGTCACTTTCGTCCTACGTTCCAGTTCAGACTAGCTGAACATGAAAACCTAGTAGAAAAATCTGGATTAGTTGACCCATATAAGATTAGAAATCTAGAGAATAGTTTAGCTATACCACTCGCTACGTGCAGTTACACACAACCATACAATAGGCTGGATGGGATAGGATGACAGTTTCAAAATCTAATATCACAGCTGGGTGTGGGGAGAGAGAGATTGATAACAACGGGAGCTTTGTTTATCGAATCAACTGAGATGGGGAATATGCGTAATAGGAATGATTCAACACCTGTCCACACAGATATCTGGAAAATTCTACTACCCCAATGACGACGACAAATAGGAGAAGACAAAGAAAACTATAAAACTGGAGTTTCGAAGTCGTGTGATTATAATTGATGGTGAAATGATTATGAACAGCAATAATGAATTTTGTTTGAAACTGTGTCATCGAGTAAATACTAATACTGTTTCACTGTGTGATTGTGTGTGATACATCTAATAAACAAACTTATGTGGAATCATCTACTACCGCAGTGCCCAAGTTTTACACATATATTATAATAAACAAGTGTATAGGAGAAAGTATATGGGAAAACATGAATGCATTTGAACCACTGATAACGGTTTCGAATCATATCACCAACAGTCTTCAGCTATTATTTTTTTTTGGTATGCCACTGTCGTCAACCAGCCAGTCTACACTCCTGTCAAAGACTTTATATATATATATATATATATATATATATATATATATATATAATGGCTAACATTTCCATTCGGGAAAATTGGTGACTCAGGATGTGCAGCACATGTCCTAGACATCTCTCTCAGTTGATGTAGCTTCACAACCTCATCAATTGACTTGCCGTCGTAACCCAACAATCCCAACCGATAGTTACTACCTTGGCGCGGTGTACGGGATTGTATATCACAATAACCCAACAAGTTACACTGGATGGAACTAGTCTTGCTGTTCTGTAGTTGAAATCAGATTGCTAGCGAAGAGGGATGTACCAACGGTAAGTTGTTTCGAATGAACAGCAAGTCAGCTATGCTGTCTCTATCTCCCTAACTCTCGAGAACTGTACATCCCACCACCATACAAAACAACTGACGCAGTAGTCTTCAAGGCTCCTCAAATCACGTAACACTAGTGCTCCTTCTGTTTCAGGTAGTCCAAGAGTTATTATTATTTCCTTTATTTCCTATAGAAACATAGGGATTCAGACGCGCGATTCCATTGGGTTCGGTTCTCTGCTAACGTCTTCACCTGCCTCCAAGTCTGCCCACATGATTTCATCATCTCCTCTTCACATGACCTCCTCTAAGTCACCCTCACGCTGACGACCAACTAGCCACTTCCCTTTCGGGTTCCACTCGAGCGATGCCTTGTCTAGTGATGTCACTTGATGGTTTGTTTCATCAGAGTATGGCTAGCTAATCCACCTCCACATCTTCCTGCACACCTTTTGCACAGTCGGTTCCTGCTGTGTTGGTTCGCTCAATGCCAGAGATCCCTGTTGCTGATCTTTTCTGCCCGGCCGGCCATCTGATTATTGAGCGAAGACAGCTAGCTGTTAATGAAGGTCTGTAGGTTGTTTGAGGAGCCAAGTTTCTGATCCGTATAGTGAGTAGCATTGAATGACTTCACATTGGAGTTGGAAATCCGGATCTCATTTTCATTTTCATGCTGTCTGTTGACCTCCACACAGACTTGAGGGTAAGGAAAGTTTGTCTTGCTTTCCCTATCCTTGCTTTGATATCCTCGTCAGTTCCACCGGCCTGTAGTTGAAACGATGCTTCCTATGTCGGTAGGTAAAGGAGGTTGTTTCTTTCAGGTTCCTCCCATTTATGCTGGCTGATTGGTATCTGTTGTTGTTGCCGTTGGTGGTGTTGGCCAGGAATCTTCATCACTTACCTCTGTTTTCTCTATGTTCGCCTGAAGTTTTATCTTCTTCGGATGGTTCTTCTGTCAAATTGTTGCTTTTCATTTGCATATCTTTCAGTTTGTGGGACATCAGATATATATATCATCGGTGAAGTCCAGATCCTCCAAGTCCTTTTTTGTGTGGGTCCATTTTATGCCTGTTCCCTTGCTGCCAGCCGCAACTATCTGTCGCATTATCCAATCTACCGCAATCAGGAAAATCATTGGAGATAGTTGGCAGCCAGCTTGTTTTACTCCCGTCCTCACTTCTTCGAAAGATTCCGTAAGTTTCCCGTTGTGGATTACTTGTCATGCAGCATTGTCGTACAACTAACTGGTTGGATGAGATGTATAATTGTCGGTGGCACCCACCCCATAGTAGCGAAGTAGTCTCCAAATCACCTATCGATCGACGCTGTCAAAGGTTCGAAGAAAGAAAAGCAAAATAAACTTCCATTGTCTAGACAGAAGGCAGATAAAAACCACTCACACACTCCCGTAGGCGGGGACCCACACAGAGCTTTTGTGAACATTGCACGTCATCTCATCTCAACTATCTTATTGTCGCTCTATGTCTTTTCAGTTACCAAACAGGAAACGGTAGAATTGAGAACTACTGCTAAATACCTGTACCTATGTTAAGTGGAACTGGTCAAATACCACCGAATACAAGGCGAAAACAAGAATTATTTGATCTTAATTTGAACTTAAACAACATGTTGTGTTTTTAGGTAAGCTGCCTATTGATTTCCTAAATGCTTTTCCTCTTCTTTTTTTACGAATAACTTTTGTAAAACATAAAAATAAATAAATGTCGAATGTATACATAATATAGAAAAAATCTGCATTTAGACATTATCATGCAGCATGGCTAAGCAAAAAACAAACAAGATCTATTCGTAGCAGCTCTATTTTAGCACACCTTTTATAGACACACCTAGTGAGCATAAGGTTGACGGTGATACAGTACATTTAAAATTTGCTTTGTGAGTTCGCCTCCTACATATGTTGACACTGACTGACTAATTATTGTTAATAAACATATCAGTGCCACTACCTGATTGGTAAACTTTTGTGTATTGTAATAAAAATGCTATATGTGTATATTAGAGAAGAGTAGAATCAGAGTGAGATGAGGATCTCAATGAAAAGTAAATATTTCTTCGCTCAGCTCAATCTTTCTGTTTTCTAAATATACATAATAAATGATTGACAACTTGCCTCATTTAAACGAAACTAACTTTGCCAAATATCCGGATAATCTGACTGTATCACTGACTGCCTATCACTTCCAAGTCTGACTGCTCCAAACTTAATAGCTTTCTGTTGGACATCACCAACAGAAAGTGGTCTTATGTGAAATCCTTCCAAATGTCAGGCAGTTAGTTAACTTCACTTTCAAGCATCAATGTAACATACATGAACTAGTTAGTTCCAATGATACAGGTAGCATACATACATGGCACTGAAATTGAAACCAAGTCAAACAGCAATAAATACTTTGGATTACTTCTTTCCTCTCTCACCTTTCATGGTCATCCCACATCACCTTATCGATCTCTAAGAAAATCTTTCGTCGTACCTTCTACATCAAAAAGTTAAGACAATCAGATATCAATCAACCGACCTTCACTTCTGCAGTTTGTAAACTCCTCTATTTTACCTATTGTACCTACTATATTGCTCTCCATTCATCTTTCCTGGGCTTCTCAAAAAGGAAGACTATATCATATATCACGAAGGGTATTAAATGCTGTGATGAGTAGGGCTTGTGGTATGCCACTGTGTGAGCTCGACAATATTATAGTCGAGAGACACACAAATTCCTGTACAAAATAGGCAAAAGCCGTACTGTCAGACCCCCTGCACCCTCCTTTATTCATAACTATCCCCTTTAATCTCATCAGGTAGGACGAAAAGTCAATATGAGAAGAAGTTATATGCTCGAACCTTTAAGTACAAAAATTCTACAATACCCTCCCTATTTATCCCGTATCTTTGATGTGATGCAGACACTACACAGTTAGACATATAAGAATTTAATATGTAATTAGCAAAGTGAATCAACCCTTTCATCGTCCGTTCATCTTTCTGTAATTAATTTATGGTATCACCTTTTCTAGCGTTTAATCATAAGTTAGCTATTTTATGTTTAGTTGTTATTACTGTTATTACTACAATTTTATACTTTATGCATATTTTTCTCCATACCGCATACTGTAATTGCTACATAGCTGGTATAACAACGTTTTGCTATCATTATTATGCAATTAATGTTTATTATTTTTGTCGTTTTGAGTAAATTAGATGGAATATTGTAGTGAATGCTGAAAATTCCTTGCTGTATCATTAGTAATGTTTTGGGAATAAAGCGAAGATTATTACCGGAAAACAAACAACTGAAGCAATAGCAATCCATCTGAAGAAGCTAAACCTGTGTGTGTGTGTGTGTTCAGAAGGAATTTGTACAGCCACTTTCCTTACCCTTCTTGGTTATCATTGTTACATGAATGTATAAACTGGATTACTTCACCCGCCTCCCATAAACCTTTAAAATTTATAATTGTCCAAATTATTTTAGTTTTAATTTTTCTAACCACTTCATCTTTAATCACGGTGATATGTTTGTAAAACTATTTTATGACCACTTCAGCCTTGGTTAGTTACAATTTATCATTGTCCAAATCGATTTATTTTTTTTAGAAATCAGTTACGTAGTCAACCTGTGCACACACTTGTTCCTTGATTACTCTTCATTTTTCCAAAATTATGCATTATGCAATCCATGGGTGTTGTAAGCATTTCTACCTTTTAATTGTGTGTATTAATTTTCTTTGTTAATTATCACCTCACTGCTTGATATGTTGACACTGACTGACTAATTATTGTTAACAAACATATTGCCTCTTGATTGGTAAATTGTTGTGTTTTGTAATAAAAATGTGTTGAGAGCTGGCTGCTAGCCAAAACTTGGTACACAGCATTATATTATCATTGTTCCCTTGGGTTCCTAGTGGAACATAGGGCTTCAACTGCACGTCTCTACTTGCTTCTGTCTTCTGCTGTACTTTTCAGCTTCATCCATCTTAGTTCATACGGTTTCAACTCCTCTTCACACGATCTCCTCTATGTCATCTTTGCACTGACGACGCACTCGCCGCCGCCAGCTGATTACCCTATTTGGATTTTATTTCAGATTAAAAAAAAATAAGAGTCGAGAGAATGCTTGAGAAGAAGAAAAACAAAAACAAAAAAAAAGAATGAATACTGAAAAAGGAACAAGGCGTACTCTTTTCGATAACCCCTTCATCATCATCATCATCACCAGGCTCTACAGTTATATATCCATCAATTATACTGAATGAATGAATGAATTAATGTTGCTGTTTAAATAACATCGAATCAATAATAATAACGATAATACAAATGGATTACAGTTCAATAGCATCAGCACAACAATACACACTGAATATCAGTTGAATTAGGAAAGCTGATAATATTACAAATTCATGAATGTATAGTCTCTACTGAAGGCCAGCCAGCCAGCCAGTGGAGTAGTAATGGCTAGCTGGCTGAACTTGCTGGCGAATTGCGATAGCCTCTGGTGTTTGGAGTATTTGGTGCTTCGGTGATTTTGACAATCTACTGGCACCTGGTAGATGATGATAGAGAAGGATTCCTCCACACTGGCTAACTGGCTGGCTTTGTGTCCGGCCGGCCGGTCGGTTTGCACCAGATGGTCCAGTATCGAACTGTTAGTGGTTTTCACTTCACCTTTACTTAGCCGTACTGGGAGAAGTTCTCGAGCCAGCGACCACGAAAAATCAAGTTCCTAGAGTAACAACGGCCAATATAACTTGCTCCAACACAAAGCACAGTTGCAGTTGAATTGGTAGATCCACTATGAAGTGGCTAGTCTAGTCCAGGGTAATTCATCTTTCAACCGAGGTAGCGCCATCGGTCGTGTAAAGAGAAAATAAGACGTGTAGTTCGCCAGCGCATTAAAAGTCCTTTCAAATGATTTTCTTAATTTCTTCGTAGTAATCTCACTCGGTATATATTGATCGCCCTTGAATTTCAGTCGTATATAACGAGGCTTTTTGTTTACGGATGGATAGTGAGTAGTCCTTTTCCGCTGCTTTCTTTGTCATGTGTTTCTTGATAAGTTTGTCGTGATAGCTATTTTCGATGAAAGTATGACAAACAATGCCTAATTCATCTTCAATTACTTCTTCTGAGCATAACGCTCTAACGTACCCTGTTGTTGAGGGTCTTCACTAAATTTCTTTTGTACTTGAGAGGAACGAAGCTGTGAAAATGTGTGTGGAGGACAGAGATCCAGGAATCAGTTAAAAACCAACAAACAAAAAAAGCAAATAAACAAACAAACAAACATGATACTTACATTACTTTCAATGCGTTGAAATAAACTCTGAATAGTTTTTATGATACATCGATGTGTGATTTTTACGCCCTTTGGTATTCCTGTTTGTAAAATTTTTTGAAAAAAGAATACACTTTGTTAGAGTGAACAAACAGTGAAAGTATACAGAGAAGAAAGAAAAGTGGATTTTTACTTATGATGTAATTGGCATTACGCTGTGTTAGGCGGTTTACTAAATCTTTTAGAGGCGATTTTGCATAGAATCTGAAATTTTTGAGCAGAATACGTGTTGAAAGCGAAAGAAGGCTAATATAGTTAAAGAAATGTAAGCGAGTGTAAGAACCAATGTGCAGTGCTACTGATTCTCAATGCCTTCGACAGTGTAGACGGAGAATGTAAGGTGACGTTACAGGACTGACTGGACTACAATGATTCCTGGTTTAGAAATAGGGAGTGAAGTCGTTGGTGGAGCTCGCTGACCGCAAAGAGTTGATCTCTGACGAAATGTCTGTACGGGTACAGCGGGCTAGTTTCACATATGCCAGTTTACGCTACCTCTGGCATAGAGGTGATATCTGTCTGTTTTCGACATAGAACTTTGCACAAATGTGCGGAAGTTCAAGTCGCCACACTCCGTGTAGCACGCGAAGCAAGAGAAGAAAGTACAAGAAAAGCATAATAGAAACAGTGAGCAGAGGTGTGAGACAAAGGAGTAATAAAGAAAAACAAAACAGTTTCATTGGAGATCATAAGTCACAGGGAGTGGATGCATCTGCACTGGCCACTGAGAACGATTTTGAGCCATGTCACCAATTGTTTCCAACCATAGATTTTTACCGTCCCGAGGACCCCAATCAGGAAGTCTACACCTTCCTACATGGCTTAGACTAACTGTTGTAGATTTCATTGACTAGTGACATGTTTTGGTTTGACCTCCACTAGCTCTTTTCCAGCCTGACCCTGTATCCGCTAACATTGCACGTCGAAGGAGGCGATGGCTTGGCATACGTAACACGTGTCTTAACCATCTCAGTCTTTGTAGCTTCACAACTTCGTCGATTGATTTCCCCTGTTTACCTAGAATTCGACGTCTAACTTCAATGTTGCTCACCTTATTATGCCACTTTCCACGGGAGATAGAACGCAAGCACCTATGATCAAAGACAGCTAGTCTTTTCATGTCTTCTACTCTCAGTGGCCAGGTCTCACAACCATAAAGGAGGACGGAGCGAACTGATGAGCAGTACACCCGCCCTTTGGTCGATAGTCGAACATCTCGTCTACGCCAGAGTCGGCGTAAATTGGTAAATGCGAAACAAGCCCCTTGTATTCGTGCTGAGATTTCGTCAGAGATCAACCCGTTGGGGCTGATGGTACTTCCCAAATAAGTGAAGCGGTCAAGGTGCTCTACCACTTCACTTCCTATTTTTAAACTAGGCGTCGATGTAGTCCAGTCCTGTAACATCATCTTGCATTTGGCGGGAACGAATCACATGCCAAACATTCGTAGATTGCGGCTCAAGGTGTTTAGAAGACTCTGCATTTCGTCAGCGTCTTCGCCTAGAAGGACTATGTCGTCTGCATATTCCAAGAGGTGATATCCGGCTGGCTATCCACCAAAGGGCGTGTGTACTGCTCAGCAGTCCGCTCCGTCATCCCTTATGGTTGACTAGCTGTAAGTCCTGGCCATTGAGAGTGGGAGAAATGAAAAGGCCGACTAGCTGTCTTCGATCAAAGGTGCCTGCGTTCGTTCTATCTCCCGTGTGAAGTGGTATAATAAGATGAGCAATATTGAGGTTAGACATCGGTCGATTGCTAGGTCAGGAGGAGAAGAAATCAATAGACGAGACTGTGAAGCTACATCGACTGAGATGGTTGGGACACGTATTACGTATGCCTAGTCATCGCCTTCCTCAACAATGAGCAATGTTAGCTGACATAGGATTGGTCAGGCTGGGAAAGAGCTAGCGGCGGTCAAACCAAAACATGGCTTCACTAGTCAATGATATCCACAACAGTTAGTTTAAGCCAGCCAGTCAGCCACGTAGGAAGGTGTAGACTGGCTTCCTGGTGCAAATTGGTAGGCCGGCCTCAAAGCCAGGCAGTTAGCCGGTGTGGAAGAATCCTTCTCGATCATCATCTACCGGGTGTTTAATAAACTGACAAAATCATCATCGAATCACCGCATGCTCCAAATAGCTGAGGCTGTTGCAATTCGTATGAAACAACCAGTGCTTTGTATGCAAAACAAGCGAATTCAGCCGCCACTACTACTGCCCAGACTGGCCTACAGTAGAGACAAGAAATTCACGAATTTGTAATATTATCTTTCCTAATTCAACTGGCATTCAGTGTGTATTGTTATGCTGATGCTATTGAACAGTAATCCATTGGTATTATCGTTATTATTATTGATTCGATGTTATTTAAACAGCAACACTAATTAATTCATTCATTCATTCAGTATAATTGATGGATATATAACTGTAGAGCCTGGTGATGATGATGATGATGATGATGAAGGGGTTATCGAAAAGAGTACGCCTTGTTCTTTTTTCAGTATCCATTCTTTTGAAAGTTATTTTAATGGGCATTTTTAATCAGTGAAACTGATTTTTTTTTCACTTACCTAAATAATCACAGGTTTTTCTTCACATAGTGATGTGATCATAAATTTATTTTTGCCAAACATAATCGTCTGATTGCATGATAACATCACGCCAGCATCACGCCAAAATGGTACGAAAGAAATGAATTTCGTTTTCTGAAGTGACGTACAATATACCGTCCCCCACTCACAAACACACGCATATAATACATACACACATACATACATAAATACATACATACATGATTACACCCTATGCCAATTTCAACATGACTTCTAGCGGTGGGATGACATATCCGTTTTTGTACCAGATGTGTGTACAGGTGATGCTGTGTATCTTTCTATACAAGTGAAATGATACCATCAAAGAGAGTCAAGAGAGAAGAAAAGATCAATGATCATAATCAAAATAATTTGAAGATCTTAACATGCAAATCTACAAGCTTTCTTTATACAACAAAGAAGAAGTTCGGCATCATGTCATCAACTGGCAGCTGACTAATGTCAATGGAATGCGATATTTTCTATAAAAAAAAAACAATTGCTCCAGATTGTCCTATTGGAAATGTAAAGTGAGTATTTTATATGAATCTTATAATGAATGGAGTGTGCTAGAATGGCACACTAACCACACATATGGTTAGATGTTAGAATGCCTGTCACACACACACACACGCACACACTGCCAAACCACTTCACAACCACTCCTATTCTATGACGTTCAAGAAATAAGGATAAACTACCAAATTTGCCGCCTCCGTACAATTAGGCAAGCTCATCATCGTTTTTTCCGAATATCACCCTGCAGCATGGTTAAGCAAGGGACAAACAAGATCTAGTCGTAGCAGCTCTATTTTAGCCCACCTTGTAGATAGTGAGCATCAGGTTGACATTAATACTGCATTGAAAATTATTTATCGTATTCCTACTAATCTTAATTTTGCTCTACGAGTTCGTCTTCTACATACCTACAGCTGAAGCAATAGGAACCCACCTGAAGAAGTCAAACCTATGCGTATGTGTGTGTGTGTTCAGAAGAAATTTGTACAGCCACTTTCTTTACTGCGACCATTGTTACATGATTGTATAAACCGGACTACTTCTCCCCACCCCCCCCACCTCCTCCTAAACCTTTAAAATTACAAAAATTATAATTGTCCAAATTATTTTAGTTTTATTTATTTTGACCACTTCATCTTTAATTACGTGTTATGCTTGTAAAATTCATTTATTCTAATCATTTCTACCTTTCTGATTGTGTGTGCTAATTTTTTTTCTTTAATTATCAACCCATTGACATGTTGACACTGACTGACTAATTATTGTTAACAAACAAATCAGTGCCACTACCTGATTGGTAAACTTTTGTGTATTGTAATAAAAAGGCTATAGGTGTATATTAGAGTGGAGTCAGAGTTAGATGAGAGAGATCTAATTGAAAAGTAAATATTTCTTCGGTCAGCTCAATCTTTCTGTTTTCTAAACGTCTAAATGGGTTTTTTTTGAATATTGAAATCTTCGGAGCGACAGTTTCCGTTAAAGGTACTCAATGAGTATCTGGAAGATATGCAAATGAAAAGCAACAGGTTGGCAGAAGAAGCATCAAAGATAGGACGGACTTCAAGTGAACATAGATAAAACACAGGTAGGTGATGAAGACTCCTGGCCAACACCAACAGCAACACCAACAACAGACAACAATCAGCCAGCAGAAATGGGAGGAACCTGAAAGAAACAACCTCCTTCACCTACCTGGGAAGCTACGTTTCAACTACAGTCAGAACTGACGAGGATATCAAAGCAAGAATAGGAAAAGCAAGACAAGATTTCATTACTCTCAAGTCTGTGTGGAAGTCAACAGCACTCAGCATCAAAAATAAGATCCGGATCTTCAACTCCAATGTAAAGTCAGTCAGTGCTATTTACTATACGGATCAGAGACTTGGCGAGTCATAAAGAGCATCTCAAACAAACTTCAAACCTTCATCAACAGCTAGCTGTCTTCGCTCAATACTCAAGATCAGATGGCCGGCCGGGCAGAAAAGATCAGCAACAGGGATCTCTGGCATTGAGCGAACCAATCAGGAACCGATTGTGAAACAAGTATGCAGGAAGAAATCGAGATGGATTGGCTGGCCATACTCTGAGGAAACCATCAAGTGACATCACTAGACAAGCCATTGCTCGAGTGGAACCCGAAAGGGAGGCGGCGGGTTGGTCGTCAATGTAATGGTGACTTGGAGGAGGTCATATGAGGAGGAGATGAAAGCATGTGGACAGACCTGGAGCGGGGTGAAAAAGTTGGCAGAAAACAGAAGGCAATGGAGGTGCGCAGCTGAAGCCCTATGTTCCTCTAGGAACTAAAGGATACAATAATAATAATAATGAGTATCTGAATTACAGCGCAAGGCTCAGTGAAGCCAGACTTTCTTTGGACTTCATTCTTGAATGCATTGAGAGAAACGTCACTTAGTCAGTTAGATGCTACCGGTGTTGGGGAAAGATGAGTGTTAAGGCTAGCTAACCCAACTTGTTTAACAAAACATCACAGCTCATGCATGACCTAGAGCCGTATGTTCTACTGAAAACGCAAAAACAAAATATATAAATAAAAAAAATAAAAACAAACCTGGAACACAATAAAAACGGCAACACTTGTTATTTAGCGTGTCAATAACTTTTAGATAGATAACTAAGTGTTAATGAACACAAATTATGACACAAGATAGTTTAAAAGTGAACAAACCCAAATGGCAGTCACAAGAATCTATTCAATTTGCATTTCCCAATGAGTCAGTGATGATGATGTTCCCATCGCCGAGGCTCGAACCCAATGCCCATAGTTTCAAACACCACACCGGTCAGAGCGTTGTCCACCAGACCACTTGGGCCACAAGACCCGACCCACTTATTGTGCAACGGGGCATATTAATTATTTAATTGAATTTTAGACTTTCCTGACATGAGACCGAGCACTTTGGTCCAATCAATCAGTCGATGGGAAAATCTAAAATTCAATTAGATAATTAATATGACCCGTTGCACAAGAAGTGGGGTGGCTCTCGTGGCCCAAGTGGTCTAGTGAGTAACGCTCTGACTGGTGTGGTGTTTGAAACTATGGCCACTGGTTTTGAGCCTCCGTGATGGGAACATCATCATCATCATCATCACTGAGTCACTGTGGAATGCAGGTGCATCCAGCTAGCGGACGTGTCCCGAATAGGACGAAATCCGCGTTATCCTGGCTAGATTCCACTGCTAGTCACCATCTACCAATTTAATTCTAGTTCTCCTGGTTTTTTTCCCTTTAATCTAACTCATTTTCTGACCTTTATCACTATTGTTTTCTGTCACACCCTTACCCTCATTGTTTTATTATTCCTATCTATATTTCTAATTATTTTCTCAATAATTACCCGAACTTCTATTGTTCTCATTGTTCATGTGCTGTAGGAGGCGACGAATAAAGTAGATGGCAGGACAACAGACTAATCCACCCACACACAGATCAGACATAAAGAGTTCAATATCATTGAGAATCACATTCATGATGCCTATACACTCTATTTATTATTTGATAATAATACTAGTAATAATAATAGTCTATTTCGTATGATCCATTCTGAAAAAGACCATAATTATCCTCCATTAAGTTTTCCACGAGAAAGAAGTGGGCGGGACTCAAGTCAAAAGTTCTATACTTGGAACGTCTTCCACACACACACACACATTAAGGTCATATAAGGACATATGTATGAGGAATACAGATACTCTGTTTAAAACATCCATTAATCTTACTGTTTATACCAACCAGGTCAGGTCAGGTGAGGGTAACGCCTGAAATCATTCATTCCTCCTATTTGGTATAAATCGACAAATGTCTTTTATCTATTTTTTCATTTACGAAGACAATTTCGCTTCTACTATAGCCTTAAAACAATAAATGAGTTGTATTTCTGCTGGCACGACATTATGCTCCTACTCATCCCAAGCAAAATACCAAGCCGTCTCATTCTGAAGAGAATCAAACAAGCCCTGGATGAAAAACTTCCACCGGAACAGGCTGGTTTCAGGAGAAACACTTCATGTATTGATCAAATCGCTACACTACAGATCATCATCGAACAGAGATTGCAATGACAGTCACCCCTCTCTCTCAGCTTCATCGAATTTGAAAAGGCCTTCAGCAGACAAAGTCGATCGAGAGGTGATTAGCCAACTACTTCGCTACGTCGGGGTGCCACCGGGAATTATACATCTCATCCAACAGTTGTGCGACAATGCTGCATGCCAAGTAATCCACAACGGGAAACTCACGGAATCCTTCGAAGTAGTGAAGACGGGAGTAAGACAAGCTGGCTGCCTACTATCACTAATGATTTTCTTGATTGCAGGAGATTGGATAATGCGACAGACAGCGGGCCGGGCAACGAGGAAACAGGCATAGAGTGGACCCTAACGAAAAAAGAACTTGGAGGATCTGAACTTCACCGATGTGGTATATGTGTCTGATTTCTCATAAAACTGGAAGATATGCAAGTGAAAAGCAATGGGCTGGCAGGAGAAGCATCCAGAGTAGATAGAACTACAGATGAACATAGAGAAAACAGAGGCAGATGATGAAGATCCCTGGGCAACACCAACAGCAACAACAAAAACAGACAAACATCACCATAAATGGGAGGAACCTGAAAGAAACAACCTCCTTCCTTCCTCTAGGAATTAAAGGAAATAATAATAATCTCATATAATATACCGAGATCAACATGCTGATACGCAATATATATATATATATATATATATATATATATATATATATATATAAAAGAGAGCTTTCAAGGTATGAATGTTCGTCAGAACTTGAGGCTGAAAAAAGTGAACTAACCTGTGCTTCCGCTTGTATAACAGATCATGAACAAATCCTCGGCCTTCGGCATCTAAAATAGACCATATCAACACGGAAGTTAAGCAAAATCAAAATGAAATGAATTAGCTTAAATAATAATAATGAGGTACTTGACACACGCGCTGTACAGCGGAAACACACACACACGTAGGATATTCATTTAAACACACACGTGTAACACTGAATAGCTTAATAGTAGCCACTTTGACTACAGGATTAAATGACGCTAATTCGATGCTACCAAAAGGTCATTCTGTAACAACAGAAGACAAGGGCCAGGAAACAGATCGCTTACTAGGGAAATTAACACACATTTATCGATTTTCATGTACATTATTATAGATTATTGTTAGCAGACAAACACACTCTTCTGATTGATTGTTTTCTAGCTTGTCATCTATCTCTCTGTGGATGTTTCTTGAAGGTCAGATCATCAGTTATCTGCAAATTCTATCCGCCTATGCAAACAGAGTGTAATGTGATTGGTTGTTGAATCAGTCTTTGTTCTTGTTCTTTTCTCATGACCAATACTGGGGACGTGTACATTGACGTAAATTACTGTCTACCAGTTTGTCTAGCAGACAGCTCTCATCACAAATCGACTACTTCAGATTTTGGATATCCTCTACTGATGACTGCCAACAAACACAAAAACCCTGATCAACTGTTTCCTGACAGCTACTGCCAATAGTCTGAAATAAGTTGGGAAAACATAAAACATGCACTAAAAGGATGAGTACAACTGAAGACTAAATGGTCAAATTGAGTCAATCCTTATGCTGACGATTGGACAGACAACTTTAATTACACTTCAGTAAAGTAGAATGAAAACATGATAAAGTGTAAGCGCTAGTAGAATTTGCTTTTGACCTTTTTGTTTCATGATTTGTATATACCAAAAATATTCATTCAGATATCTATAAAACACAAAATAACTGGGCTAGAAAAGAATATCCTTATCGATAAATTCCTCCTCCTCTTCTCGCTCTAAAATTATATCTATGTATGCATATGTTTATATACATAGAATATTCTAGACTAGTAGTAACCAATAACAATATTAGTGTGCTTCTTAAATAATATCGATTTGTAAAGTAAGATCACAATAGAATTACCACACTTCATTAAAGATACTTAAATTATATTAATAATAATAATAATAAAGATATTGTAGCGAATAGAATGTCAGCTAAAATTAGGAAAATTCCACAAAAATTCAAAATCATTCAAACCTGGATGTCCCGCGAGGTAAGGCTAATGTCTGAATCAACTAACTTCTTTTGGATGCACAAATTAGGCTTGTTAACATGGATCCCAACGGCCAGCCAGCCTCAGCAATATCTGATAGTCGAACTCTTAAGGCGAAATTGAGATTTTGTTGGTGTGCATTAGGTAAATGACCCTGAAAGCCGCCAAGTTGACATCAATCTTGTGCTGTGTTGTGTATCCACAAGATAAGTAAGATAGAATAGCGCTGTGTGAATAGATTTTGTTTGTCCCTTGCTTAACCCCACAGGGTGGTGTTCGGAAATTCGATGAAAAACATGCCTAATTGTACGGCCTATGCAAGTAACTGGCTCACTATAAAGGGGCAGCTAAATAGGTAGGTACACATGGAAGAGGTAAAATTAGGCAGTTTGTCTTTTTTATCCCTAACGAACGCAAGAGAGGAGTGGTTTTGAAGAAACAATGTAATTCGGAAGCAGGGAATGCTCCTTTTACCGCCTCATATCTAAGGCGCTGTGTTAGTATCTCGCTGATAATACTACTTTGATAAAACTATTAGCAGCAGCATTAAATAGTGAAACGTCAGTAAAAACAATATCGTTTTGCTCCTTTTCCTTCCTTCATTCATTCATTGGGAAATACAAGAAAACCTTTATTATAATGAGTAGTCATATTGTGGTGAGAGCTGTCCGCTAGCTAGCCAAATTGGTAGACATTAATTTACGTCAATGTTTATGTCCCCTATATTGGTCGTGAGAAAATATGAACAAAGGCCTTGCGTAGGCGGATACAGTTAACACATATAGATGATCTGACATTCAAGAAACAGTCAAAAAGAGATGCAAGGTCAACTTTCTGTGAGAAACAACCACCAATCAGAAGACTGTGTTTGTCTGCTAACAATCATCTATAATAATGTACATGAAATATATGTTTATCTATAAATACGTGTTGATTTCCTAAATAAAGGATCTGTTGCCTGGCTGGTCCTTGTCTTCCATTGTTACAATATAACCTAATAAATCAACCATGAGTGTTTCAACACTGCTCATTGTATCTATCAGATAGAATTTTAAACGGGAAAATCAGTGTCACAAGATACTGGTCGATGATGTCGATTAACTCGTAGTTTATCCATACTTTGATTTCCCTACTCACCAATTAAATTATATACATACGCAATGTGTACATCTGAATCGTGTGTATCTGGAAGTTTCTCACTCATTTTTCTTATTGAGTTTCCTTTGTCAGTTACCAGTGTATTGTTCAAAACATTCTGACCTTTTCAGTTCTTATTACTAAATTAACAGTCAATTAAAACCAGTCTTATAACAATATCTTACATTTGACAAGGTGGGGGGACGGCGTGGAGAAGAATATGTCAGAGGGGTGTTTAGGGTGTGTTCAAAAGAACCTACTACATCATGCCAACGTGTGAATTTCTACATCTAATTCAGATTAACTTTGGGTTATGAGGTCAAAGCTTTCAGGGATGCATTGTAAATTCCGGTTTATTAATTCCGCTTTGATAAAGCTATTAGCATCAGCATTAGCATAGCGAAACGTCGTCCGTAAGAGCAACGACAACATTATTTTGTTTTTCATTCATTCTTTAGGAAATAGAAGAAAATCCTCTTTATTATAATGAATATTATTTACCATTCAATGCCCAAACTGTTTGTTCAAACTATTAAAAGTGAACTTGGTTTGGAAATATAAATAATTATAAAATAGTTTAATTCTATAACATCTACGCTGTACGTACTACTTTTTCCTCTCTCTCTCTCTCTCAGTAGTTGACACATTGTTCTGATTTCCATTTTTTACAACAACAACAAAACTTTGATTGACCTTTTTTGAGAGCTATAGTTGAGGTGATTTCTAAGTCAGTCACGTGAGCGTATATACCTCATGGTAGTTTTGAATCGTAAGATAGGAAACACAAAGTCAACAAAACAATAGAGAAGATATGTGCAGCTCAGGATGTGAATGATGAGAACTGTTTGATTCTCCTTTGAGATGAAAGTAATTTGAATAAGGAAGGCATTTAGAAGACAAATTTCGCCGTGAGATGATATCTTCATTTCATAGTTTCTTTACAACCCCTTTACACAACCAACATGGTTAACAATAATAAAACAAAATAAAGTTCCCATGACAATTACTCAGTTAAATAAAAAACAAAACAAAAGTACATACTATGCTAATGACCAATTATACTTAGATAGGTCAAGTAGTCAATCCATGGTAGGCAAAGGAAGGTTGAAGTCTATTGTTTTGAGTGTACACACAGTTTAGGCTGTATGTAATTAATCCCCGAAGAGTGCTTCCATCGCCTTCAAAAACCAACCAGCCTTGAATTAGAGTTATGTGATGAAATAATTGTGAAACAGTAACTAATTAATATGGATTGATTTTCTGACCTGACATTCATTAATAAGTGTTTCGCAATGGATGACGATGATTCTGGATTTCTATTCAGATTAATGAATGCATTGATGGGATTTTCTATGTCATTTAGTGACTATTTTGGAACATGTTCTTTTCGATCACGACATTGGAACATTCTATTGGTTCTACCTATATAGATTTGTGTCACCGAAACAACTGCAGGTGAACTTGTAGATGCAGATTGAAGTAGAGTCCACAGAATTTCGTCCTTTAATCGTAGATAGGTACAGGGATCGAAAATGTTCGAGATGTGAGAAAAAGAGATGAGGCGCCGTAGAATGTGAGTTTGATGGTTGACCGAAGCCTTAGAGTTCGCTGTCAACTGCATAATCTGGTCACCCTTGAATGGTAAGTAGGTTAATAAAGCCAGATAGCTTTCTTTGGTACAGAAGCTGTCTTTTGTAGATATGGTCTTTCTTTACTGTGACAAGTGATAAATTTCTCTGGATAACCATTAGCTAATAAAACTGAATGTATATATCGAAACTCATTCATCACAATGTGTCACTCGTGCATATTTTTTTCAGGTCCCCGAGAACATACATTTCACTCAATAGGGAACGTTTATACTGGATAGGAACAAAACAAACAGGTGAAATGAAGATATTGCTCACTCCATGTCTGTTTACGAAAAATAAATCGTTGAATCGTTCCTTCATCTCTCTTAGTCACAGTAATTAATATCCAGGAAACCGAGTTTGTTATTTAACTGAGTAATCGTCATGATCTTTATTTTATTATTGTTAACTATGTTAGTTGTAAAGCTGTTGTAAAGAAACTACGAAATGACGATATCATCTCGCGGCGAAATTCGTCTTCTAAATGCCTTATTCAAATTTTTTTCTAAGGAACTAATTGTTTTAACTTGAAGTAATTGTTTTATATGAACTGTTATATTACAAGCATTGGTTTTTGTAGGGATTTGACTGGTTAAAGGATTTCATCATGAGCTGACTGACATCTGTTAGAGAACCATGGGAAAACCAGCCACACAGAGTACTGGACAGTTGTTCTATTCTGTCAGCCTAGAAGATCATTCGAAGCAGAAATGAGACCTTGTAGGCGGTTGTAGAGAGTCAGCCAATTGGAAGTGGTGGCAGCTAACCGAGTGAGATAAATAAAACCCAAAGAAAAATATCTTTTTCAAACAACTTAGTACAAGTGATCAGATATTTTGATAAACTGTCACACACAGTGCAGTGTAGTGTTTGTTATACAGTAAGTAATATTAACTGATCCGACCACACGCCATTTCGAGCACAATTGATTAGTGCCACTCATAATCATATCAAGTCACTGACTCATTCACTCACTCATACAACTTTCTTGTTTCCTTCATTTATATACATGAGT